CCTTTGATCCACCTATGCCAAGTCACAATAATGTGAAACGTCCACTAACTTGTGAGTCAGTGACCAGCCACAGATGTTCTTTGATCTTGCCACTGGTCCTGCACATAGAGAGAAGATTAGAACACTCGTAGGGAGAGAAGATATCACCACATTATACCTCCTTCCGGTGGACCCTCTCCGTTTCTGTGTGTCCTCCCTAAATGTTCCTCTTCCATTTCAGAAACATCATCTTTTTCTTCACTCTTTTCATCTTCCTCCTCTTCCTCCTCTTCTACTTCTTCCTCCCTCTCTCCCTCTCCCTCTTCTTCTTCCTCCCTCCCCCCCTCTCCCTCTTCTTCTTCAGACACAGCAACACCATCTTCTTCTTCATCCAAACTTCTCTCTTCCCTCTCTCTCCTCCTCCTCCTCCTCGTCTTCTGTTTCAACCTCGCCCACTCCCTGGTGTGTGTCCTCATATCTGACAATGTCATCGAACAGTCCCAGACCCCCACCGCTCCATCCCTTGCCACTGTGTACAACTGCAAATACACTATCAAGTTTCAATCATCCAAATTAACCACACTTAAACCACAATTATTTAATAAACACGTTCTACACAGCAGGCCCATTCACACGACAATAATGAAAAAGGAAACGTTTTCTCTCTTTACTATTCAATACATCAAGTAGGTAACACCAACATTTTCACTACAAACAAGTTTATGCAGTTTCTTTTAATAAGGTTTGCTGGACTGGACGAAGTGGACCTCTACACACGTACTGAGAGGGAGTCGGGTCTGAAGAAACAGCTGAGAACGGCGCTGCGGTGAGCTGCGAGGGTCACGTAATGGAACCCAGCCACCGGCTTCACTGAGAACACCCTACAACTCATATCCCTCGAACCTACCGCAAAAAACCTGGAGACGAGAAAAAATTCACCAACCCGTTACAAATTTACCGGCCTGGTAAAATTTTTGTGTGTTGGTGGGAAAATTTTACCGTGAGTCATCGGACCAGTCGAGACAGAGGGTGTCGTCATACTGCCCAGGGTATGAGCGGTAGAGAGATAGAGGAGTGCAGTCCTTTGCCTGGCCTGGAGCATGCCAGACCTGAACCATACGGCCATGAGTGACCGCGATATACCTGTGGCAAAACACAAGGCTTGGTCGCATCTCTCCATGCACACTCACACTCTACGCATACTCATGCGCAGAGACACACATGCAAACTCACACAGTCACGAACGCATGTAAACCACCACCACCACCACTATGCTCGTGTAGTGCTTCTGCAGCTATTACGTAAATGTGCTCCAGACAAAAGAAGGTATTAGCTTACTATGTAGGCACTGTTTCCCATTGGCCACAGCAAAACTAGGGCATAGCTTGCTCTACTCTAAAACCATCAGGAAAATCCTTAAGAAACACCACAAAGAGGAGGAGTGAGAGAGAGAGAGAGAGAGAGAAAGAGAAAAGGAATAGAGAAGGGAGTGAGACCTTCCGTCGGGACTGTACTTCAAGTCATAGACCCTCTCCTTAAAGTTGAAGTGATGCAAAACTGCTTTCTTGTGGAGATTGACGATCAGAGCTCGGCCATCTGTGGAGATTTTACATTCAGCACATACATCAACTGATGATACCACTTGATACTTCTTGGAAGTAAGAGGATGCTTCCTTCCACTATACTGAGTCACGCATGTTTTGGTTACCTGAATCCCTACGTTATAGGAATCAGTCTGAGTAAACACTGTTACTACAGTAAAGCCATGGATGCATGGAGTTAGAATGTAATGGACAACTCAGGCATCTGGCATTTGAGGCTCTCAGTATTTTGATCCAATGAAGACACGCACACAAAGGTAAACACTATTACTACAGTAAAGCCATGGAGGCATGGAGTTAGAATGTAATGGACAACTCAGGCATCTGGCATTTGAGGCTCTCAGCAATAAAATATGCATCACAATGCACACCTAGGTGCGAACGTGTCCACATCGAATAAAAACAAGTTTTTCCAGAAAATCAATGAGCTACTATTACCACTGGTAAAGAGCACCTGGCGTGTGTGTGTGTGTGTGTGCGTGCGTGTGTGTGCATCGTTCAGCGTACAAATCACAAGAATGCTTTACACATGAGATGTAGGTGTTCTTGACGTGTGCAAGTTTCCAGGTGTTTACACCCGTTAATAGTCCACCTGTACTGTTGAGGAGCATACGTAAGCAGGTGGAGAACCATCCATCACGTAACAGCAAGGCCCCTGCCATTAGTACATTATATCAACCGCACAACGGTGTGAACTAACAGATTGCACACGTTGAGCATGCAATTTTGCAAGATGATTGAAAGTGAGTATAACTGTGTCACACCTTCGTCCACACTGATCAATATTACTCCGTCTGGTGAAACTGCAAACCTTCTGATGTTCTTTCGGTTTTCGAATGGGAAAGTACACGATCTATTGCTGCAGCATGAGAAAACGTCATTGTCAAGGTGTGTGTAGGTGACTAGAAATGGTCACTTTTTGAGGTCAAAGTGCGAGAGACGATTCCCCACTGGGCTGATGACGCAGTTACCGTCCTCCGAGAATACAAGGTTGCCTTGACGATACACGGCACCGTACAGGTTGGAGAACTGGGGGAGACAATGATCTCGTCACGGATCAAAACCAACTCAGCCCCACGTACCTTGTAGGAAAACTTGGACATCGTGCAGGGCAACAATTTGTCAGCCCGAATATTCTAAATAACGCCCAGCTATACACGTGGGTTAAATAATACGCATGCGCAGCAATACGCGCAGGCGCATGAAAACAGTATAGAAGCACAAAACAATCCGAGCAGCGATAAAAGTTAAGTAGCTAGTTCCAGTTCCCTGAGATCTGTATCTGAGATGGATCAAACGCTGTGCCTTTGAAAGGTGAGCCGTCGGCGTTCCACGCTTTCTTCAGCATCTCATGGGCTTTCTAAAAGAGAGGCAGAGGTACACACAATGAAAGGTGTGGCATGTTAACCTTGTCTTGGCTAGTTGGGAGTCCCTGCATCTTCATGTGGTGATCATAGGACGCTCTCTGGATGGCCGCCTGAGCCTCATCGTCAAATTCACCGATGTTTCTCGTGTTGTCAATCTGGACGAACAGAAAAACAACAATTGAGATAATTATGATTCAATTCTGCATTGAGTTGCCCTAGCAGCTCTGTGTGGGCAGCTTTGGAAACATTTCTCATTAATGAAACTTGTGTGCAGTCTTACACGACTCCTCCTACATGTGTATGTTTCCACCTTTGTTATGTCAATCTCCTTCTCTCCCTCCAGAACAGACTTCCACATGAGCTCCTTTGATTTCTCCAGGTTGATACACAGCGTGGACGTCTCTCTGTCAACATTCCACATTGACTCGTCCACTTTCACTCTGTTAGTCAACTTCCCATCCAACACCACCTACCAAAATGTCAGTAAAAAACATCGTCACAAATGGCTCTCAAACAATAGAAACTGTACTCTCCAGAGGCTTCCACTGTATATACCTGCGGTATCACTAAGTATTGATTGCTGCAATTACAACCAGTTTTATAATATATCAACAGGTTCCACTAGTTTCATATTAGCCCAATCCAGTTACCTTGTGCTCAGGGTGAAGAATTTCGACTCTGATGCGTTCGTTCTGTATGTCGACCTTCACGTGTTTGGCTGTGGTTCCCTCCTCGAGACCCACCTTTATCTCCACCTCAGTCACAGTCTGCGACCACTGGTACGAGTCCATATCCGCTCCATTGTACACGTCTGACGTATAGTTGAAGGCTTTTGTGCGCTTTTTCTTGTCCTCACTCCCTTCAGCTTTCTTTGAGGCCACTTTCTCAGTTTCTTGAGTCTCTCCTTCTCCTCCGCCTCCACCATCTCCCTCCTCCTTCCGCTGGTTAATTTCATCGGCTGGAGGTGTTTCTTGGGTTGCAATGGAAACAGCGAGTTCGCCATCCTCCCCTCCCTCTCTGACCCCGCCCGACGACGGAGGGCTGGCCATCCTCTCAACTTTCTTCGTCTCTTCCTGTCGCATTATCTCGGCCTCCTTCTTCCTAGTTAGGACCTCGTACTTCTTGAATGCCTATCATACGAAAAGGAAACTGCAGTTAGAATGATTACATAAACAGCATCTCAAGGTCCAGTGAATGGCTAAGATCTACCAGCAGTACCTGGAGGACCATGCTCTCAGCTACGCCAGGCGGGAACCCCATCTTAGCGCGCTCGTGTTTCATAAGGACATAGAAGTCGGTTCGTCGGGCGAGGAAGCTGAAGACGGCGTCAAGGAACGGCGGGAGTTTCCCGCAGTTTTGCAGGATACCCATCAGGGCGTTGTCGTACAGCGCCTGGTTTCCCTCAGCCGCTAGAGCCATTCGATCTCCAGAGAATTAGCAAGAAACAAGGGCCGAGAAAGAGCTTAGCTGAAGTATCTCACGTGATCCACTTCTTAGCGCATGCGGTACTTTGCCAGGCGGAGAAAATGGCGTCTGCAAGTCTTCCTCGCGTGCTCTGTGTCCGCAATCTGAGCAGCGCTCTCGGTCGTACTGCAATCCAAACACGAGCTGCAACCATCCGTGCGTGGAGACCTGTATCTACGGCCAGCTGCTTGCGTTGGAGGCGTCAGGAGCCCGTGTGGAGCGGCCTGCCCACTACCAGTGGCCCACGTGTTCCCTCTGTGGCTCAGAGATGGTCTTCAACCGCCGCTCTCTCCCTTCAAGAACTAGAGGAACAAGTGCTCTCTGTTCTCAAGATGTTTGACAAAGTAAAGCCCGAGCAAGTGAGTCAGCAGCGTTGATGTTGGTTTGTATCTTCAATTGTTGCCCCCCCCCACCTCTCTGCTTTCTGCTGTAGGTAACTTTAGAGGCTCATTTCATAAACGATCTTGGAATGGACAGTCTTGATGCCGTTGAAGTAGTGATGGCCTTTGAAGACGAATTTGGTAAAGCAATCACTATTTCACCCTGATCATGTCGTCCAATACACTCTTACAGGCTGTGAAATAACGGACGAAGAGGCAGAAAAGATACTCAGTGCCAGAGATGCGATAGAACTTCTCAAAACAAAGCTGGACGTTCACTAGACCCTAGTCACTGTGTAACACTGTCAGTATGCGGCGACGCACTCTATTGTCTGAATGCCTGTTGTAGCATCACCGCAGTGTGTGCGTGCTGTATTAACACATCATGTACAATAGATAACTCCATTCTAAAAAGTTATACTTCGGCACAGAGTTGTTGAATTGTAGAAAATTAAAACTGTATTGAGAGTGGTGGGAGGGGCTAGGGTGAATTGTGGGCAGAGCATCGCTGAAAGGCTTGGTTAATGCAGCTGCTGAGAGTTTGGTGCATGTCGGGACTGAGTGTGCGTTTGAGTGAGGCCTCTCCTTGTTTTCTGTCCACTCCTCTCTGCTATAGGAACACACGTCGTTACATGATGTATTTCCATACATATATAGTGGTTCCTACCTGCCAGTAGGCCACCAGCTCATTGCTGAGGCTTTCCACTTCTTTCTGAGCCGAGAGCAACTGCTTTAGCTGCCTGTATACGTACAATTAGAGGACACCAGTGCGGCATAATCCGTTTGTAATGCCTGACTGTTTGTAGATGTCTCTCTTCTTGGTTCTCTCCTGCAAGATTCCTTGCAATTGCTTCTTACTTTGCCTGCAAATAAAAGAGAATCCATGTTTTTGCAGAAAACGGGTGAAACAATTACTAAGACCTCTTTTGACTGGTGAGAAATAGATTTCGTTTCTTGCTCTCTTTCAGGCTCTCTTGTATGACATCCTCGTAGGTGGGCGCCCCCGATGGAATTACTTGATTCAGTTCAGTTCTCTTGGTGAGTATCGCGTACCCCGTGACCTTGTTTAGCCGTCTCTTCTGCAAGTAGTGCTTGACCAGCGGACTGCGGCCAAACTGGTTGAAACAAACACTCTCCATCTCCGGTACTGCCAGTGGGACACCCTGCAGAAGTCGGTAGTAGTAAAGGACAAACTCATTCTTCGTACACACAAGTTATGTATACTGACCTGATGGCGGTGCAGTTGCTGGAGGATGTTCAATGGTCGCTGTCTTGTTTTCTCCCTGGCACTGAGAGCCTTCTCCTTCCACGAAGTCTCTCCGTCCCCAAACACATGGTTGGGCAGTCCGAACTCCCTGGCCGTGCTCACTGGCTTGCAACTCCCGGCAACATTTCCCGGACCATTATTTGCAGGCGGCTGTTTAGAGGCAGGAGAAGTGTGTGCGGTTAAAGTTTGGACCTTGGCTTCAGTCAATCTCTGTTTCTGTAGAACCGACGCAACACATGAACTATGTATAATTGAAAAGCAAACCCTCGGCACACTGTGGAACCCATACACAAGTGTGGCACCACCACAATTGATGGTCTTGACCATGCATAAAAAAGAACAGCATGTTATGGCACTATTTCCATGAAAAAATGGCCAGCCCCATTTCTGTTTGAGGCCCAAAAAATATTTAACGGTTGAAAAATTGCCAACCTTTCATCTCTCTATTAATTTTCGTATTAGCTGTGGATTGTTTAGTGCAAAAAAAACAAAAAAAAAAAACAAAAAAACCTAAGGTTGAAAAAAAAAAAAAACGCCCAGCCTTATCTCTCCAGACGCAGTGCTATGCCGAACTATACGCTGCCCTTTGAGAAACATGGGTCAGTGGTAGATTTTGTGGGTAAGGGGAGGAACCAGAGCTGTTCCCAGCCAATGCTCTGGACCACCTGACACTTTAGTGCGGGATCGAGGATTCGAACCTGGCACCTATGGTGTCAGTCCCCACGACTCTAACCACCTAGCCACTCGGGCTGGCCTGGAGAAGTGATGAAAAAACGTTCCACTTATACCAACAGCCAACACTCCTACATATTACATCATTGTAAAAAAGGCGCACACACCCGGGATCAAACCAGGGATCTCACGATCAAGAGAGAGGGTGCTTATCCATCAGACCACCATTACTTGAATGGGAACAGTGTATATATAAATGAAAAGCACTAAAGTGCAAACCCTAGGCGAAGTAGCTCGCAGAGAGTCTGACACGGGCTAGCTACAGTAGTAGATAGCACGCGAGAGTCGATACACGCCATTCGTTGTGACTTCTTGTGCCTTCAAGATAGACAGAGCAAGCGGACCCGGTCGAGGTGCCTGTGCTAAATATAAGCGCATGCGCATTATCCGCCAGCGATAAAATGGCGACTACCGGCATTAGCCATACAATGCTGGAAGCGCTCTAGCTCTGCAACGGATCATTTTCAGAGAAAACCCCACTGACCCTCGTCGCCCGTTGGGTAGATGGTATCGTTTCTGGGACGAACAGACACCCGAGAAGTGAGATTGAGAGTAACAGACACACAGACAGACAGACACACAGACAGCAGACAGACACACAGACAAACTGCAGTACCCTCGTTGCGCATGCACGCCGAGGGTAAAATAAGAGTTTCACTACAGTACATGGCTTACATGTCTGCATGGCATATTGGTTTGGGTCTTGTTTGCTGGCCGAGGATGCCCCTTCGTTTGCCCCACTCTCTTACAGCAAGTCTTCCTAACTGATCTGGGGACGCCTCCTCTTGTGTCTGCTGCTGGCTTTGGGGGTACCACTTTTGGCAGCATTGGATGACCACTGTTGTTTCCAGTGGTCTTCTTTGGTGTTTGATGGGGGAGGGGTGGCGGTGGTGTCGGCACCGACAACGTCGAAGGAGTGGCCGATGTTTTCTCACTTTCCAGCTCGCCCCTCTCAGTACTCTGTCTCGGTGGTGGATGTCTAATCGTCCTCTGATGAAGACTTATGTACTGAGATCGAGCCACATCCAGTTTGTTGACACTACTTCCCTTCTTCTCAGGCTGGGAGAGAGTGTGCCTGCCCCTTTCTTCATCATCATCATCATCATCAGCTGCAAATTTTCCCCCTGATAGAACCTGCTCCAGCTGTGCTCTGCTGATCTTTAGCCGCGGAGTGGGACTACGGTGGGCTGGTGGGGAGCAATACTCTCTGTCTCTCTCTTTATCCACCAAATGATGTCCGTTAATTGAAGGGGTTTCCTCATTATTTGATGCCCTTGCCTCATCTACCAGTGCATCTAAATTAAAAGCTTTAGAATGTTCCATATTAGCGTCATCAGCTGATAAAGAGGGAGATAATTTACTGTTTTTCCTGTGGATTGGCTCTTCTTCTTGTCCGATGGTTTTCAGGGAATCTGGAGGATCGAGATGGTCAAAGTTCCATCGTCTCCACAGCTCTGGCATTGGCCTAGTCCCTAGGAAAGAAATTGTAGCAATTACACAGTACATACCTCTTCTTCTAACTGGCTATCATATGATTGTACAACGCAGGCAAAGTCATCATGGATATAATAATACATGGTTCGGTACTATATATTAAATACCCGTCTGCCAGAGGTAGATGATTTCCACCAGAGACGACTTGAAGCTGTCGTCAAAACTGCTCCACGAGGCAGGGAAGGCGTGGATGAAGGCAGTGTAGACACACTGTGCCAGAGCATCTGGATATGCCTGTGCATTGTGACGACACCATAATGCTTTACGAAATTCTAAATGCGTGTGTACTGCCTAAAGTTTCGCACTTGCGTACACTTTATCTACTACTGCTGCTGCTGCTGTGTAGTGCGCTGATATGGAGTTTGGGGACTTGCCTTTAGGAATTTGTCTTTCCAGGTGTGAATCTCTGAGTTTGCGAGAAAAGTGACGTAATTTTCTGCGACTCGAGAGAACAGCGAACTCTGCACTGCCTTGTGGGGCTTTACATAGGTAGAATGATGTAATCATGACGTAATGGCCTAATGGTAAATGTTTATTATTCACCTGGTATCTTTCCAGAAAGAACCACCAAAATGTATCCTGTTACAGAAAACGAAGAAAACATTCTAATAGTTTTTTTTGAACAAAGAGCAATGCCTTTCATGCCATCTTCTCTATATATACATATACACAGGCTGCAAATTCTGTGTATTGGAAGGAAAGTGTTTTTAACTCACCAGGAAGATAGTCTGAGAGGCTATGGAGTAGAAATTCTCCCTCCAGTACTCTCTGTAGCCCTCTCTCTGATGGAAGTATATATCACTCTAGCTCTCAATACCATGTTCATTGTGTATACCTTGGCTGCAAGTTTAGCCTGTGCCCGAGTCACTCTCCTCATCTGCTCCAGAGTATCCAGAGAGTGGGGCAGAGGTGTGGGTCGGGAGGGGGTGTACCCAGGAAATCTGGCCAACTGAGGGAATATTGCCCATTCTACTGCACTTCTACATTAGCTCTATTTTCTATGTGTAGTGTGTGAGGTTACTGTAGTGTATATACCTCTATCAAAGTGGCCTCATTTTCCGGTTCCTCGGCAGCAGACTGTCAAAGATACAGCGATAAACTGAGTTGTGCAAATACTAAGCTACAGACCTTTTTCTCGACCGGGAGGATGGCTGTCACTGACGTTTGAGTCTCGTTCTTGGGTTTCCGAGCCTGCACACGAGCACTTCCACCGGCTCGCTTCTTCGGCGGCATCTTGGAAGACGGGGAAGGGGATCTGGAGTCAGCGGCGGCGGTGCTGGGGAAAGTGTCGACTACCAGTTCGGGTAGCAGCTCTCTCGGCCGGAGACCCTGGGCCCCGACCTGATCGTTGACGGCGTCTAAACTTCCGACCGTACGGACTGGGACGATCGCTAAGGAGTTCAAGACTTCAGCGATGAACCGTATGCACGAAATCATGCAGTTTTGCCGAGCAGTAGTCGCGTCTCCACCACGACGCAGTGCAGGCCAGGAAAAGGGAGGGGCTGCTGCCGACCGCAAGACGCGCAAAGAGTTCGTGCTCGCATTTGAAAAGGATACAGCGTGGACAAGTGCCCTCCGGCTGCGTCTTGCGACACCCCAGTCTCCCTGCCCAAGGGCTCAACACCGACTCACGGAAAACGAGCCTCTGCACCTCCATATCGCCAGCAGCGCGAGTTTCCAGGCAACCGATGAGTTTTAACCCTTCTCCCGCGGTAATCAGGCCCACGTGCTTACTACCCTAGCTCAGAGATGGTAGTTTCAGAGTTTTCGTGGCTCTGTAGGTACTCTAAACCGATCTACGTGCATGGGCGGAACATTAGAGTGCTCAGCACTCCCCAAGATTTCTACGGAGCGCTTTTGGTGAGCCAAAAACCAAGTTTCTGCCTTACAACCCTACCTCCATTCTCTACCCTCGTCTCAGAGTGGAGTACGGACGGCCCAGAGACGCATAGTCCTCTCTTCTCTCTATTTGGGAACAGGGAAACACGAGCAAGAGCTGGTATGAGCCGCGGACACAGTCGTTTCCTTATTTAGTTCGGTGTACATAGCTATCTACGTACTTTGTTCCACGACTTGCGTTACGCAGGTGGAATGTCTTGGGAGCGCCCTGTCGGACGGAGCCAGGCCTCATCTCCGTTGCTCGGTGCTCCTTGACTGTCTGAGAGGCACCCGCGGCCACCCCAACTCCGTCTCCCTCCTCCGCCCACTACTCTCTGGTCCCCATGGCGACAGATTCTCCCTCCATCTCTATCACACCCCGAATCTCCGCGGCCTCCTGAGAAAGGTGTTCCCTGCGAGGCTCAATGAAGGAATGGGTCTCCAGCACACAAAGATCTACGTCTTCGATGACTCACTTCTTCTCAGCGGGTAAGCTGCTGGTACTTCTGAGTATTTCGTACAACAACCTGTGCATTTCGAGACTGGTCACTTTTTAGCGTGTGATTGTAAATTCATTTTAAAAAGTTCGTCTGTGTGTACCATGTACATTTTGCACATTAAAAATTTGGGGTTTTCCCTCCTGTCATGTCCAGAGCAAACTTGAGCCGGGACTACTTCACCAACCGCCAGGATCGCTACATGCTGTTCTCAGACTCCACAAGACTTGCCGATTACTTCTCACGGGTAGCACAAACCATTGCCGACCACTCCTACTGTGTCGGGTCTGACGAGGAACTGCGACCAGCCCTGGAGTTTGATCACCTCACGTCGAGGGCAAACTCTGTCAAGTACAGAAGAATCATCTCTGACAGTGTCCGAAATTTACTGAGGAGCGAACAGAGCATTAATTGCCAATCGAACTCGGGGTCTGGAGGGACGAGGAGGGAGATACTGCCGTGTTCCCCCTCCTCCAGATGGGGCAATACGGAATACGGCAGGAGGAAGAGGCGACAGTCAGACTCCTGGCTGGGCTGTCGGCAGGAGAGAGATTGTGTCTCGCCACGGGCTACTTCAACCTGCCACCTCGCTACATCCAGGCCTTGCTGGGAGCTGGAGGAGACATATCTGTACTGGCTGCCTCTCCTCAGGTATATAATATATATAGCTATCTTTTCACATATACTGGTGAATAATTTTTGCCCTCCCCTCAATACAATTAGCACGGATTATGTGAGACCGTGTTCTGATTCCCCCCTCTCCTATATAACTCTGTTCAACATTTTCTCGCCAGGCATTTGGTTTCTTTGGGGCTCGGGGTATAGCTGGCCACGTCCCTGTCATGTACACTCATTTCGCCAGGCAGTTCATGAGGAGTGTTCACCGCCACGGCTGTCACGAAAGGGTTAAATACTCAGAATATTTCAGGGAAGGTTGGACCTTCCACGGAAAGGGTGAGCAAATTTAGAGCACCAACAGTTTAGGAGAACACAAGTCAAATTTGGAGAACAAAAATTTTGGTATTCAGATGTGTGAAGAATTTCTTGTTGTAGTCGCATGGAATTATAGCTCTTTGTGTTTAGGAATGTGGTACTATCTTTCTGGGGAGACCCTGCCATCGCTGACGCTAATTGGCTCCAGCAACTACGGTAAGGAAGACCCAACATTAGCATGTCTGAACGGTCCATATTATTATGGTGTTTTCAGGCCACAGATCTCTAACTCGTGATCTTGAAACCCAAGCTGCTGTAGTCACCACTAACCGGGAGCTCAGGGCTAGCCTTCACTCTGTAAGTGCTACTAAGTACATAGGGATTGGCATGGTACCTAGCATCATAGATGTGGGGCTATGATAGGGAGTTTTGTTCATCTTCTTCCTATCAAGGAAGAATTTGCGGAGAAATTAGCACTCAATATTCTTACATTGACTCAATCTCTCAGTGTGTTAACCCAATCACTTTACCATGAACAACAGGAATCCAGTGTCCAGGCAATTTCTACCCGAGGCCTCTATCACTAAGTACAGTAGTACTTAGTTAATTATAGGGATTGGCATGTAAATATTATGACTTCACAGATTTGTGAAAACATGCAAACGCTTTCTTAATATCCTCCGGTACAGAATTTTCTAACTCATCGGCCACAGTGATTGACAGCACTCTACTCTCTCCCTCTCCCTCCCATCACTAGGAACAGGAGCGTCTCTTTGTCAACGGGGGTCATGTCACTCTCTCGGACATGGAGCGGGCTCCAGATAGAAATCTGAAACTCTGGGAGTGGATTGTCACCACTCTGCTGAAACCTCACGTCTGAAATCACACTCACAATTTTATCTTTACACACACCATATCCGATATTCAGTGATCATGTGATAATAATTATGGCAAGTTGGGGGAAGAGATCTAAAGAACACCAGGCGAGATCACGATCACTTTTTCTTCGCAATATCGATCTCTTCCTTGACGAAATCAAAGGCGGCTCCTTTGCTGGACTTTCCGAGGAAATCGAAACTGCTCTGAGAGTCATGAGAGTCCGTTGCTGCCATCACCAGAGGTCTCTGTACCGGCCTGGCATCTCCTCCCAGTCGGGGCTGGGGGATGAGTTGAAAATATTATGGTTCTCTATGGTGTTCTATTATACCTGATTCAGATACATAATGGGGGCTCCTTGTGGATTGGTGTACAATTGCATACCACCAGCCTGTGGAAATAGTGCAGATTGAGAAATAGTGAACGCTTCACGAGGACATCAGTGTTGAGTCAACTGACCTGAGGAGGCATGGCTTGGCCTGGCTGCATTCCATACGGAACAGAACCGGGACCCATGTAGGGCACTTGACCTGGCATCTGGACCCTCCCATAGACTCCGCCCACTATCTGAGAGGGTGCCACACCCGGGACGAGGGGGGTGGAGCCAAGGGTTGTTGTGGAAACAGAGGAAGAAGAAACAAAACTGGAACTGTCGAGTGCGTGGGATTGTAGGATGCTGGTCCCGATTCCATTCTGGAACCTGGTATCAGTCTGAGACCTGACAGTGAGGTCCAGTCCAGACAACTCAGACATGACCTCGTTACTTCCCGATGAGGGGGGCGGGGCAGTTCTGGGTTTTCCTAGCGATACACTCCCTGTGACAGCGTTGGACTTTGACCCCACCAAGTCAGTCCCAGCAGCGAGAGGGTCAAAGTTCACGTCTCTCTCGTCCTCGAGAACCATCAGCGAAGGCTCTCCCTCTCTCTCCTCCTCTGTCTGTCTGGGATCCTGCTATATATGTAAGTGATGATCACAGAGAGAAGAAAACACAACAATAGATCCTTGAATGGAAGTAAACACAAGCAGGTCGATCAAGTGAGAGAACTTTTGAAGTGCTGTACGTGATGCTACGGGTGCACATTTTTGCAGCTCTGTTACTACTCAAAATACACAGCTAAACACACATATTTTCGCTAAACACACACCTTCCTAAAACACACAATATCTCAGTGTGAGACAGACTGACCTCAGTGATGGTGGATGTTAGTTGGGACGGGGAAGAGGAAGAGAGTCCAAGAAGGTCACCGAATGGAGAGGCAGACTCCGTTTGGTCGGCTGCTGTCGAATGCTGAGGTCTCTTCTGTTGGGGAGAGGTGTGTCTCTGTCTTGAGGGGACCATGGCAGTAGGGGGTCCAGTGAGGGGAACATTGGGGGGAACGTTGGGGGACTGGTTCGAGACCGACATCCCAGCAAACAGACCTGCCATATCTGGAGGTAAAGACTGAGTGGCGAGAAAGAGAGGGGAGAGGAGAGAAGGTAGAGGCAAAGGCAAAGGAGACAAGTCAACTTGTATATACCTGATCTGTACTCTCTCTTTCTCCTCCTCCTCCTTCCTCTCCCCCTTCACCCAGGTCCAAGATGGCCCCACTGACAACTGTAACAGACACACCACCACTCCCAGACTGAGAAGAGGAGCTAATATTCCTTTCAGTTGAGGCCATATTCCTGGTCTCCTCCTCAACTGCCAACTGTTGCATGATCTGTAGGAAACCACCACACCCATGAAAACAGAAAAAATTGCGGGGAAAAAATTTGAGAGGGAGAAACTTAGTCAGTTTGGGCAAACTTTATGAGTGGAATATATTGTGGGAAAGTTATATTCGTGGAACTTATTTTCTTCAAAACTTGTTTACAATGAAGTGCAGTTCAAAAATATTTCCAGCTACTTTTTTGGCCTTGGCCCTGATGGTGGTGTTGGTGGAGGTAGTGAGAGAGTGCAGTTCCTGAAGAATCAGGTCCATCTGAGAGAAGACCTCCGGTATGTCTGATTTGAGCATTGCCTCCACCACAAACAGCGTCCTCTGGGCACAGACAGAGAGAGAGAGGGGGCAGCTCATGTATGTAGAAGGCCGAGAGCACTACTTCTAATCCAGACACAAATTGGAAAGAAGAAAGTGTCCATATTAGCATTCAACTTTCATGCAAGAACCGTTTGTGGGGAAAGTAAAGGTGTCCTAAATCTAGGTGTGCTCCTTGAGAGCAGTTCAGATGTGAAGAGTAACTATACACGTGTAGCAGTGAAAATCCGATGGAGGCTCACCAGTACTACTTGTGTCTGGTCCTGGTCCTGCAGTTTCTGTCTCAGAAACTCCACCACAGCCAAAGAGTCCAGTGCCTTACACCTGCAGTTCCAACCATACACACACACTGCACTGAACGGGGGCACGGGTAGCCAACCTTGAGATGAAGGTACTGAGAGTGTCCCTCGGAGGAGCTGCTTTAACCCCTCCTGGAGCAGTGATGTCATCGACCAACCGCCTCTCCTGCTCCGTGTTACGATCCTCACTCCTACACACACACACACACACACCCGTCACACATCAATTTAGGATAAAATCAGCAGCAGCCCTGGACCACACCACAAGCTAACAAAGCACATGAAATGCAATAGTATAAGTGAACTCCACTGAAGTAAGTAGTGGATTAGACAAAGTTCCTGTTTGACATTACGAGGCTCTACTCCACTGTCTTACTCTGCAATAGCGAGGCTAGGATAATGCTGTTCTGGTTGAGCAGCTGTCTCCTCAAAGACAGGTGGCGGCTGAGGCACTGAAGATGATGGCTGGTCGGGAGAATATCCCCACCCTCCCCCTGCCTCTCCTGACCTGTGTGCTGTTGGTATCATCATTGCATAACACGTGCCATTTCATCAGTGTCTCATAGTACATGCACAAAGAGAAGATTGGCAAAATGGAAAACACGCAGACACTTATAAAACTGGTTTGTAAACCACTTCACTCTCCATTGCTGAAGTGGTTTACAAACCCCCAAAGTATCTGTGAAGCTGAAACATTGACTCACGTTCTCCTTCGGGCATTCCGTGGTCCAGGTACCTGCGGGGAGCGTACCCTGCACCAGACACAAGGCCTCCTCCATATCTGCCACCGCCGGCTGCTGGGGCATGCATGTTGTGTGGGACTGGGTCCATTGTGGCGTAGCTCTCGTCATAGACCAGAGGACTAGAGGTCGGCTTGTTGCCACTGCTACCAAACAACGCCTTTAGCTTGTCTGCTGTTGGAACAGAATGGAAAGCATGGGACCCAATGATAATACAATCAGTTTGTAGATTCTAGATTCTAATTGTGGAAGAAGAAATGATGATGGTAAGAGGAAGAGCAAAAGAGGTGTGTGAGAGTGCATGTGTTTGTGTTCACTGGTTGAAGAAGATGGTGCTGTTCTTGAGCCTCCAAATGAGCTGTTACCAAAACCCTCAATTCTGGATGAGCTGGAATTCTCACTCTGAGCTGTGAATGGAGAAAGCGGATAGGGACGCATGGCTTCAGCCAAGAGCTGAGTGCTTTTCCTACTGCCTCTTTAACTGGTATATAGCACATTCTGTACACCTTCCTACCCACAGTTGTTGGTGACAGACAGAAGGAAGATTCTGTACACCTTCCTACCCACAGTTGTTGGTGACAGACAGAAGGAAGATTCTGTACACCTTCCTACCCACAGTTGTTGGTGACAGACAGAAGGAAGATTCTGTACACCTTACTCAACAAATCGACAGTCACTTCGTTCACCAAAAAAGCATTGTATTTGTTCTATGTAGCAATGAAACTTGGAGAAAACTCACGTGATCTGAACTCCGGTGGAGGATATCGCTTCGGCTGCAACTCTGGAGCATCAGAATACAGCATCTCCAGCAGTTTCTGTGGGAGCAGCAATTTGTACATCACACACACACACACACACACACATTGTTGATGATATTTCCCTTACATTCGAAAGGTCTCTGATTCTTGCACACTCAGTCACTATTCCACCATCCTTAGTATAAATGGCCCTCAACCCTGGGGGAGAGAGAAGAGAGAGATAAAAAAACAAAACAACTTCAACAGCACATGTTCATCTTCTCCCCTTACTGGACGCCTCATTCAGAGGCTCGGGCTGTTTTCTGAGGTTCTGCTTGAACTCAACGTGTCCTTTCTCCAGCAGCTCCTCCAGCAGTTTCAGAACCTTGATCTTCACGTAGACATTGCGGGAGGTGACTAGCTGGTTCAGCAGGTACTGCTGCAGGAAGGCCCGTGCCTGCCCCGATTCAAACGACATTTCTGAGGAGTCGAGTTAGAGAAGATAGTGGGTTCATTCTGTCTGGTAACTATCCTTCCAAGTAAGAAAACGGATATTGGTTGCACGCATGAATCGAACTGAAGCACAGTGACTCAGACTCTAAGGGCTAGGGTAAAGCTAAGAGAGGGAACACTTCAGCTCGTATGCTAAGAGAGGGAAGGAGGGAAGTTGGCAAGGATACTGATGATGTCTTTGACGAGGTAGGGATCGATGGGTTTGTCCGAGGCCACAGTCGCCGCCATCAACACCGGGATCTACGGTAAGGTAACGTCAATGAAGACGTAGACTATATCGCGGGAAAAAATATGCGCGACGCTTACGTGTTGAATGTTGGCCAGCCTGGCCGAGAGAGATGGTCCGGAGAACATGTCGCTAGCTCGCTCTTCACGGCGCTACCCAGACTTCCAGATCCTCGCCATATTTAGTGACTGACCCGGCCCCTTTCCACGCCTCTTTGCTGCCCGCAGCGTGCGTTTATGGGAAAATGGGTGGGGCTGGTCAACAGCACACACACTGCCACACACATAGCTAACGGAAAAATAATTAATAATTCAGTGCCAAGGAAAAGGAGAAATGGAAGTAGTAGAAGTTCCGTTAGGGCACTGTCCCGACCCCTGCAAATATAGTGGGAGGTAGAAAATCTTTGCCTCCAGTGGCAGTGTTGAAGAAGAGGTTAGTCACTCCCACGTTTCCCTGGTCCGGGTCAGAGAATGCGGTGAAGTCGTACCTCACGAACGTGGAAAATGAGTCGAAGAAGAAGGTGAAGACAGTTTTAGGGAGTTCCTCTAGCATGAACGACCACTTTTCGCAGGTCCCGTACTCCGCCGTCACTTCCACGCCCGCGTACGCGGCTTTCACGTCTCGTAGAAAAGTGGCGCTGGGCGGCGGTAGCCAGGAAGTCGAGTATGTGCTGCACTTCGTCTTGTTCACGAGGTTGTCCATCTCGAAGTAGGTGTTGAGCGTCGGGGTCTTCGTGAAATCCAGCAGACTGAGGAATATGTTGCTTGTGAACGGGGTCGGACGGCTCTGGTTGTTGCTGGCGTAGCCCGTGGCCGTGCAGTCCGCGCGGATCATCTGCTGGGAGTAGCTGGAATAGTAGGTGCCGGCGCAAGTGTGATTCACGACAAAGCCATTGTGGTTGAACTTGTTCTGGAGCATGTTGGCGGCGAATTCCTCGGGGAGCAGAGGGGCTATCTTCCCCTGTCCCACCACCGACTCCACACAGATCAACTGCACCAACACAAACGGCAGCGGGAGGACGGAGAGCGTTTTCTTTTTCGCTACGGACGTCGATCGGACAGTGAGTGCTGAATCAGCAAATCTATGCGCATGCGCGTGTTCTCAAAAACGCGGACGACGGCGTGTGTGCGTGCCACAGTCGAACTCAGAACAGCGTTTACTGGACAATCAAGGATGCCCAAGTAACTTTCGAAGATAATTATTGTATCCTATACAAAATTCCTATTTTTATCTAAGACCTTTACACAACAAAGCTCTTGTTTCAACGAGAAAATTGGGGGTGCGGAATAATTAGAATAATGTATCACCTTGCCACCAGGTACTACTGCGACTACTGCGACACTTATCTGACACACGACTCGGTGAGTTTGGACAGCGCAATTCTGCAGAGAATTCATCTTCTGTCATTTCACCGCTAGCCCTCTGTACGGAAGACACACAACACGGGTCGCAAGCACAAAGATGCGGTGAAGGCCTACTACATGAGTTGGCTGGAGCAGGAAGCACAGAACATGCTGAGTCGCAGTATGTCCCCATCTGCCCCAGCCACCTCTCAATAATTCCAGTCTCTTCTCTTTATCTTTTTTTTGTCTTCAAGTCTCTAGTTTTGTCGCAGGCACAATGCTGTGTCTCTGCTGTATATTTCTCTGCAGATCCATTCCTGCCAAGAGCAGGTGCTGGTATTCTCCCTCCGCCAGGAATGATCCCTCCACCCGGAATGCTGCCTCCTCCCATGCACCCTGGTACACACACCCTTTGTAGTGAGACTCTATTATACAGGGGAACCTGAATTAGGACTCCCCACTTCTGTCCAGGGTTCTGCTGCATAGATACTGATCTTATTTGCTGTAGGGATGCTGCCACCAGGAGGAATGATGCCACCTCGGGGGATTCCTCCGCCCGGAGCTCACATCCCACAAATGCCAATGAGACCTGGCATGCCCCCTCCACCTCGCATGGGCCCCCCACATGGACCTCCCCCAGGACAATTCCCGCCAAGACCTGATGGCCCTCCTCCCCCACAGAGACCCCCTGTCGGCGGCCCCCCACCGCATTCCACCGCCGCCGGACCTTGACTGTGTATATTTTTGTCGCTTCTCTCTCTCGCCCGTACGAAATTACGTCTGTTACCATGGCGATGACGAATGCCGTTTTGGTGCGCATGAAATAGAATCGCTGCCCGGCAGATACATGCTTCGTGTGTGAGAGAAGAGAGACGCTATGAGCACACCAAAGGACTCTCTCTTGTCCCACGGTGTTTGCGAAGATGTCTCCCACGCGAGCGTCTCGGGAGGCGCTCTCCCTTTCGTCCGCATCCCCACCAATGTGCCGGCTCCGGACGAGTGGACGCTCGTGCGAGAGGTGAACATGGAGAAGAGAGAGCCGTGTGAGGTAAGTATGAGCCTCCGCCTGCACGCGGTAAACGTACCACAGTGTTTCCTGCTGTAGATATGGAGGTCTGGAGTCATTCACCAGCTCCAGCACATGAAAAAAGAACTGGTTAGTGGCTGTGTACCATTCTAAGACGTCTACCACAATATTTCTGCAGCTGAAGTACAGCAAAATCTTACAAGATCTCGAGGAAGACATCCTGTCACAAGAAACAGAACAATGACCAAAAACACGTGGTTTTCATTTGTCTCAGATTTCATTTGTGTTGTCTCACGGTTCATTTCCATGCAAGTTTTTTTAACGCAGTGTAATACAATGTATAAGTGGCAAACTCTTCAAAAACAAAAAAGATCAAGACAACAACGATGATAAATAGTGTGATATAGCAGAGTCTGAGTTAGTGAGTGAGCTATAAAAGACGGCACTCCATAAACAACATAGCAACCCCAAAACGAAAACGTCCATTATAAAGCACAGAGGTAAACAACGAAAAGACAGGGTGAAAAGGTTAGCGACCGCTCAACTTCTTTCTCTCTGTCGAGTAAATGGCCACCATCCCGTCCACTCCACCGTGAGCAAGAAGAACCTGAGACACAAATAAATAGCGCATAATTGTACCTGACACTCCACCAATCCCATGTGGTCTAGTGGTTAGGATCCGGCGCTCTCACCGCCGTGGCCGGGGTTCGATTCCCCGCATGGGAGGTTTTTTTTATCAACACTTTAACCGACTTTACTTTTGATTTTATCGTACCTTGTAAGGGTGGAAAGCCAGGCAGTTGCTCGAGCCAATTTTTTGCCCCATAAAACCGTCATGGTAACGGATTGTATTGAGGACCTCGTTTCTTTCCAAGTTGAAAATACGAATGGCCTGTTGTTGATGGGAGGCGCTGTAGGCAAGAGTGAAGACAAAAAGAGAGAGAGAGACAGAGAGAGATAGACAGAACATATAATAAGGACTGTAGTAGTCAGAATGTGTAGCGTACCAAGCCAGCAATGGTGCCCGAGGATGGATATCACAGACATTGATGGTGGGAGAGAGGTTGTACGTGCCGACGCTCTTCATGAATCTTGGATCCCACGTCTTAACCTCTCCTCCAACACTAGACAGTTACACAGAGCTTACACTTTCTCTTCGTAGTGTATATAGTCATACTTGGGAGGAATCACACGGTATTTATTGTGGCATATACCTGCACGAGACGATGGTACTCTCACTCCCATACTGCTGCATGAGAACATTCACAATCCAGCCCTGATGCTCTCTCAGAGTCAACACCAGACTGGACCACGGCGGAATGAGAGAGGGAGACACAAATCACCACTTACACACAAGTTCAAACCCTGAACGTTCTTCTTTCAAGTCTAAACTTTCAACTATCAAAACCTCCGCACACTCCCCAAGTACACACTTTACCTGGAGTTCGAAGGTTGGCGTCTGTCGTACAGTCTCACGGTTCCGTCACCGCAGCCAGCGATAAGGAGCGAGCGTTCGGCGGAGTCAGAGGTGAGACAGGTCACGGAGCTGTCGGCGTGGGTCGGTATGTCCTGCACCATCAGCTCCTTGTGAGTGTCCCACACTCTGACGTGCCTGACGTCACCAGAGGCATAGAGAAGACCAGTCTGTTGCTCCCACTCCAGAACCATTCCTACTCCTAATGGGAGTAGATGACACATGTAGTAAGAGCATACTCTTGGTACAGGTATTAAAAGTCTAATCGCATATGACGATGCATAGAACAAGCTGACTGGTGGTTGCTGCGACATCATATTCTTGTTTTAATTGCATGCACCCACGTACAATAAAGCAATGGAGTCTTGTCCAATAATGAAAGATGGGAATCTTACTCTTGGAGACAGGGAGCATGTCGAGGAGTCCTCTCCAGGCTGTCACCAGAGTTGGCTTCTGAGCTTCGCTGTTCTCTTGACAGTAGTCCCTCCATACATGAACTGCTCCATCCTCTGAGAGAGAGAGAGAGAGAGAGTAGAGTGTGTGTGTGTGTCAAAGTCAGACGTCGCGCCAGAAGGACAAACCTGAGCCAACCAGAAGGAAGCTGATGTCGTGCGGATTGATAAACTCGGCAGCCGTAATCTTTGCTGTGGAGTATGTGCAGTTCTCCTGGAAACTCGTCACCTTTGACCCTTGCTCTATGTCCCAGATACTGCGAAAACATACACGTACGTAGAACCTCAGTGATAACATTGCTGGCTTACACTAGATTAGGAACCATTTAAGTTTTCCTTTTTGCAAGTTTTCCCGCTATACAATATCTAGTACAAACCTCCAGCAGTTGCGGTGAATGACGGCAAGCTGGGGCTGGTAGGGATGGAACTTGAGGAGCTGTGCTGGCCGTGCCTCGCGGTTCACAAAGATCTGGTCGTTTATTCTGCTCCCCGAGAGAGGGAGACAGCTCCTGGCCATCTCTTCTCGCACGAGGTGGTTCCGGATGAACCGATACTCTCGTTGCTGGTAGCCCGGGCTGGCTGGATCACACTCCGATGGTTGCTGCAGACACGAGGAACAAAACGAACCTGTCTGCGGGCTACACTTCCACGAAGTCGCTAAAAATGCTATTTTGTAAAACATTTTATAGTTTTTCTAGCGTTCAGGCTTGATGGCTGACTACATTCACGAAACGTCTTTGGGGAAATGTTGCTATTAAGTAATTCCTGCAAAAAAGTCTTTAGTTTGACGGTATACTTATATACCTTCATGAGAGGGTTGGCAAAGTACTTGCAGCACCAGTCACAGAACTGAGTCGAGAGTGCATGCAGAGAACTCTCCCCCTCATCGTCCTCGTCTCCACTCTACAATACACGGGAGACAGAAACCACAATCGTTTACTGCACATCAGTTCAACTCTAGGGGATTCTTACGGAGGAGGGGTCTGGGGAAGGGGCTTTGGGTCTGCCGGTGGGCGGTAGTGAAGTCAGCTCTGATTTCACTCGAGACATGATCGCAGAAGATGCCATCCCAGATTTAGGCTGCCTGTAATCCACACACATTGCGCAGTAATTGGGTCAGACAATCCATGGATTGCGCAGCCAACCTGAACTTCATTCCTGCAGCGCCGAGTGTGGCACACTTGACTGTGTGTCCGGCGTCCTTTGGAGAACAAGGAGCGGAGTAAGACGCCACCAGCGTTGCTCCAATCATCTTTGCTTGCGGTTTCTGGCGCAGCTGGAGAAAGGAAGGTCAGCCAGCTGCACATTTCTATCAGATGCACAGCACATGACACTGCAGGCACATGCTAGGAACATTAGTTCACATATCAGATAACCTAGGCACACTAGTGCACATAATTATAGTGTAAGCTCTACCGCACATTGTATCAAGCAAGCTAGGCCCAATAAGTCACATAGTGAGCAGTCCACAGCTGGCACATAATATGTAAGGCACACACCAGACATGTGTATGTAAGCCCAGCAGGTTCCGTCATAATGTTCAGACATGTATGCAGATAGCCAAACTCACCTTATCGTGGAGACCATGAACGACGTGCTGAGCAGCATCGGCAACTTTGGGGAAAGGGTCGGAAGCCAGGTACACCATCCCTCTCCAGATCTGCTGGTACCAATTTCTGGCCCCCAGACTCGCGCCCCCCGGAGCCGATTTACTCTTTGGGAGGTCTTCGAAAAACTGTTTCCCACTCGCCTCCCCGTTCGATATGCTCCCCCTGCTGGTGGGGGGCAGGTCCCCGGGGGGCCCACCGACAGACGAACTTTGAAGTTCCCCGTTATGGGCGTGGCTTGCGAGGCTATCGATTCCGTTACTGATAGAGTGCTGGGAGTTTCCCGAGAGGCTGGTTGACAGGGGGGAGTTGGGGGTCGGAATATTGGTAGAGGCAGTGGAGCCCCCCTCGTTTTCCCCGTCTGAATCCTGGGGGGCGATGGTGACGTGGATCCAGCCGGTGGGGGTTACACTGGTTGTGAGATTGGTGGCCGCAACTCTCTTCCCCTCAGAGAAGTGGAGAGCTGCGATGTGGAACTGTTTCTCGTAGAGCAGAGTGAGACCGTGCAGTGCTGAGGCCAACTCCTGTGTGGAGGACCAAGAAATGTGGGACGTACTATGACAGCACGTACTGTAAGTGTGTATATATACTGTATATAAAGTTTTACTGATCAGCATAAACTTTAGCGCAAACTTGAAGTTCTCTCACCATTCTGACCACGGGGCTGGCGTCGTTCATGAGCTGGAGGAGAGCAGAGCCGACCGCCTGGTCAATGGTGACCCTCATTTCACTGGTCCCGTCCTCAGAGGTGTTGAGGAGATAGGTTCCCAGGGCAAAGACTGCAGCCGCTCTGACCTAGCGACAGGGAGGGAGAGAGGAAGGATAGAAATAGTATACAGGAAAATCTACTAAATCGGTGTTTACTTGAATTAAGAAGCTGGACCTCTTTCTCTAAGGATACCTCTGAAACGAGGACACTTCAAGAACAGCTCTTGCATGAAATTCACCCCCAGAAATATGGACACCTTATTTCTGTCCTATTGTTGTCTGTAATACAAGGGTTCCCCTGTACTCTGTACCATACTGTATACTGTGTGCTACGAGAGCTCACGTCAGGAATCTCGTCCCAGAGAAGAGAGATTAGTTTGTCGTGGGCGTTGTCACGGGCACCGTACCAGCGGGCGGAGTCGAAGTTCTGCCAGAGACGTCCGAGGCAGATGGCGAGCCACTGGCGGAGGACTGGGTTGGGCTCCTCCAGCTGCCCCAGACAGGTACCTACCACTCCACTCTGGAGACAACGCTCCTACATACACACGGTGAGAGGGAGACAGAGAATTGTATGGGGGTAGACTTTTCATACTTTTAGCAAGCAAGTGGAGGAGAAAGGCAGGCCAAACAAACGTTCTTGAATACAGATAAAAAGATGATCACCTGTCCCATTGGGTACTTGTTGACCACCGCAGAGATGGCAAAGGCAGCCATGGTCCGATACTCGCACTGCATACTGGTGTCCCCCAGAACCTGACATGAGTATGAGCCACAGTCACTCAATAGAGAGTGGGGGGTAGGTGAGTGTAGCGCTAACCTGCACAAAGTATTTGTATCCATTGTCCTTTACTAGGTCTTTCTGACACGACTGTAGGAGGAGAGAGATCATGTGAGTGTCACATGACATCACACGCAAATGAACAGTTTCTTACAGGGTCTACAGCTAGTATCTTGGCCCATATGAACATCAGGATTGGCTGTAGCTCTCTCAGCTTGCTGTAGGTATACGGGACAAATATCAGTCAATGGGTCGTCCGATCCTGCAATGGGACAGGGGTCAAACCTGCCGAGGAGTTTGAGAACGTAGGGGAAGATGCCGACAGTGAGTGCCGAGTGGACCGCCCAGGATCCCAGGTCCAGGAATCTCCCCAGCAGCTCCAGAGCCTGGAGCCTGTGAGCCTGGCTCAGCAGAAACTGGCAGAGGAGAGAGAGAGAGAGAGAGAGAGAGAGAGAGAGAGTTACGCAAGCAAACGAACAGGGACAAAGGGAGGAAACAGACAAACACTGCATCGTCAATCTAACGGCTTTCATAGCAAGTATGTGTCACATTCCTATACATTCAAGAACTAAAGAACGTTGGTTCAGCTTTTTAAAATCCATCCCATTACTGTAGTCATTAGACAGTGTTGCACCAACCAAGTATATTACACCCTCTGTGTGCAGCGAGAGAGTTTCTTAGCACACCTGGAGGACGATGGGCAGCTGCTGAGGCGGGGATTTCGAGTCTCCAACACTCATCAGCCAGACTTGGAACGCCGACAGCTGCTGGGAGAAGAACTGCGAGGGCTCGTAGTCCTTCTTCCCGGCGTGGACATCTGGGAGCTGGGAGAGGACGTGATCCAGGGCCAGATCCCAGGCCTGCCAGAGAGGGTGCTGGTGGGTGGGCGGGAGGGCGGGGTGTGACTCCGGGGTACACTTGTACGACCTCATCACCCTCTCCGCCAGGAGAAAGTTCCGGAACAGGCTGGCCACGAGGAGGTCCTGACGATATAGTTTCTGGAACTGACCTGTGGTGTGGTGTGTATACAGGCGTGTGGTGACTACGTCTATTGCGCTCACAACAGTTAATACAGTAACCGCATACTTTATGGTATACTTTTCTTATGGGGCATACAGCTAACTTTTGACTGGTAGGGATTCAAGCTTAGTAGAACATATTGTTAGACTCCGAAGAGCGCAAGGATTCCATTGCTGCATGAATTTCTGAAATTGGATGAAAAATAAGAAAGTTATGGCAAGTTTTTGAGGGCCCAGGTGACGTCAAATAGACATGTATGTCTTCTGGTTGTAGAGTCTATGCTTTGATGTGGAAAAGGTTAAGAAGTTGCAGACACCCCCAAGCCACATACCACTTCCCTTAAAACCTAACTATCACAGAGAGTATTGTTAAAGTACAATCTATTCCGTGATGATTAAGAGTTGCTAACCCATAGGGAGTGTGTTCCAAGCAATAGTGTCTGTGATGGCAGTAAAGATCCAGTTCAGCTCCCCCCAGTGGCGTCCGCCGGTCACTCAGTTTCCCCGGGATCCTACCGACATGTGCCAGTCATGTGACTCTCACATGATCTCACGGGCTTACTTCTCCAGAATCTCCTGCGTAATCCCCCTGGACCAGACTCAGCTTCCCCACTCTCTGCTGCTGAAAGTGCCTGGCAAATGACGTCATTGGGAAAATAGGCATACATTATGAAGGGTGAGGATGACATCATTGTCTCACCAGAAGAGGGCGGTCTTTATGGGTGTGGTGAGACAGCAGGTGAAGAGGTCCGCGGGGAGTTCAGGGTTCATCGGGAGCATCTCCTTTGGTCCACACGCCGCCAACTGGATACACCTGTAGAAAACCAGTTTCCTTAACCTGACAAACAGGAATAGCAGAGCAGTCAGACCAGAATAATGCTCATGCTCACAAGAACCTTTGAAGTTTATTTGGAGAGTCAAATAGCAACATTATCTCATGCTATCATATCTCATTTTGGAATCTCCCTTCATCCCTCCACTTATCCTCCGTGATTTTAATTTTGTGAGTAAACAGACAGACAGACAAACCAACCAGCTGTTGAGGAACCCGAGGTGTATGCTGGAGGTCTGGTGGGGAGAGTCCATGAAACTCTCGCTGTCTCGCTGGCGAGCAAACACCTTGAACGAGTCCAGAATGAGCCCTGAGAAGAGAAGGATTAGAGAGACAGTCTGAGCCGGCGGGAGAGCCGTTAGCATTACTTGTGTACATACCTGCATGAGAGCAATCGTAGACGTAGATTGAGGGGCTCCCCATCCAGGCTTGCAGGTCATACATCGACATGGGGATGTACTGCGTGTAGCTCTAAACAATGGCAGAGATGACATAGATACATAGTAAAGGGTTTTCTGGGATGGGGGGGGTTTATGTATGGCAATAGAGGTGGAAGTACATGGGTGGTAAGGCCACAAGCCAAAAAGTCAAGGTATGGAAGGCAAGGCAAGCAGAACAGTGTTGTACTTGGACCCAGGTTTAATTAATACCTTGTTGAAGACCCATATTTCCCCATTCTGTGTTGGCTTTGGTACACCGTGAGCATTGTAGTGGAACAGCACCCTCTCGTTCTGAACACAACACAAGACAAATAGAGGGAGGAGGGAAAAGTAGGGGACGAAGGAGAGAGAGAGAAATGGAAAGCGTGTGTTTACACACAAGCTGATGCACTGTATTTCAAAAAGTCTGGGACACTCAGGATGGTTTCTAATCCGGACAGAAGTTATTAGTGATGCGTCCTTATTAGTGAGGTGTCCATATTTCCTTATAGAGGGGGCCCACTATACACCAGTTACCTTTGCTGTTTTCCGTAGACTGATGCAGAGTTTCCGAGTGTCTTCAGTGGTAGGGTCCAGCAGGACCTTGTAGCGAGCTCGCGGCTGCCAGCGCTCGTACTGTTTCTGAAGAGTGGTTCCGATCTGTTCTATGGCCTTCTGTGGACTCATTGAGAGTGGGTCTGGTTTGTACGGGTGTGGGGGGAGGGAGAGGGGGAGAGGTGAGGAGGTAAGATGATGGAGGGGGGGTGTGGACATACCGATCCAACATTCTCGTCGGGCACAAGGATTTGTCTTGACAACATCTGGAGGGTCTACTCCGACATTTAGACACAGACATAGAGCCACACTCCATGTTTTCATCTGTTTGTAGTGTGCACGAGGAAGTGTGTGAGCGAGCAAGTCAGTCGGTAAAAAGGGGGAAAGAGGAGGGGAGAGGAGAGTGTGCCGACAACAACTAAGTGTGGGTGAAAGTACTCTATATAAGTGAGGGAAAGAAAGGAGAGAGTGGGTAATTGACAAGAGTAAAGTAAGAGAAGGAGAGACCGACAAACCCTGTCTCTGATCCTCCATTCATCCACTTCTCCCCGCGCCTGAATCTTCTCCACGTGCCGAGATTTCATGAAGCTGAGGGGCAGTCTCCAGTCCGGGAGCTCACTCGGCTCCGCCACGGAGAACGGATCTACCACGACGCCCATAGAAGAGGCCATCCTCCGCAGACCCCGCCTCTCTCTGCAGTCGATTAGCTACGAGCTAAGTGGCTTTCCTTCTGCGGCTTCCCCGCATCTGCCGCGCGCGCCAAGAAGGGGAGTAGGGTAGGCAGCGTTTGGGGAGCTCCGAAAGGTTCTGGACGGCTGGCCTGCAGCTTCTAGCAGGCACTGCTCATCCCTTTCCGGCTCGGCAGCGTTTTTCTCTCGGACACACACCAACACCTTTCTTCGCCAGCAGAGCGAACTTCGTCACACACGTTTTGCAATTACGTCATTGTTTGCGTGCCAATCACATGCAAATGGTGCGCTTCAAATAGAACGAGTGGGAAAATGGAGCAGCAGGACGTTGCCTACGATGCAGGCGAGTACATTGAGACGGTGAGCTCGCCAGTGAACTTGTCACGTTCAGAAAGATCCAAACGTCCAGTGGGCAAAAATTTTTATGTTTCTACTGCAGGCCTCGGGAAACAAAGTCAGCAGAACATGCATCCTCTGCGGCAGCAAAAACATCGTCCTCAACGGAAAAGTACGCCTTTTAAGCCTCATGTTCCAACAGATATTGCCGTTTATCTCTCCACCTAGACCGTAGTTCAATCCGCCTGCATCATTAGAGGGGACCTGGCCAATATCAACGTTGGAAGACAGTGTGTTATTGGAAAGAGAACTGTCATTACTCCTCCGTTCAAGAAACTCTCTCACGGGTATGTAGATATCAGCAACAACTCACACTTTATTCCCTCTCCCTCGTGTACCAGAGGTGCCTTCTACCCCCTACAAATAGGAGACAATGTCATAATTGAAGAGGACAGCGTGATCAATGCTTCTGCGGTTGGATCCTACGTTCATGTTGGGAAGAACTGTGTCATTGTGAGTGTGTACGAACAAGAAATAAGTTTTGGAATTGTTTGATGTCTTTTAGAACACTCAGCTGCCTAGAGTGCAGTCATGGAATTGACACACACACACACACACACACACCACTCCCTCAGTCTCGCTCGTGTATCCTGAGAGACTGCTGCACGGTGCTGGACAACACTGTCCTGCCCCCAGAGACAGTTGTTCCTCCATTCACTGTCTTCGGCGGTTCTCCAGGTATATATGCACAGTATGTATCATCAGAACTATTTCAACTGCAAAAAATTCCACTGTGAAAAATTTGTTGGAACAGAAGTCGATTTTTATGTACTTGTTCCCAATTACTACTACATTGTATATACTCTCTATTTCAATCCCGCCTGGTTCTCTCAGGGGTGATGGTGGGGGAGCTGTCAGAGAGCGTACAGGACGTGATGATTGAGGCCACGCGAAGCTACTACCAACACTTCAAGCCAGTCAAGAAACAATGACACACCATCGTTATCCATTCCATTTTTCAATTCTTGAATGTGAAAGTTTTAAAAAAAAGGTGTGTAGTTTATCAAACATAGGTCCAGGGCTAAAGTTCAGGTCTGAAGCCTGGAATTCCTGAGAATATCTGTGAATCTAAGGGGGGGAGGTGAGAAGAGAGAGAAGTGAGGGAGGAGGGAGAGAGAGGATCGAGGGACGTACTGAGAAGGTTATCTGAAACACTCGTTATTCCGCTCGTACGAGCCTTCACACATTGCTCTATCCAGGAGGGCGGAGTCCAACTCTTCCACTGCATTATATCATAATGACATAATCGACACATGCACACAATAAATTTCTCACATTATCATTGTCGGCTGCCTTGATAAGCAGGGGCTGCCTCAATTCTATATCAGGTCCCCACGGCACGTGTACATTCACATCAATAACATAGTTACACTGCAGAGTTTGATGACATCATCATTACATCACCACAAATTGAACTGAATCTACCTTTACTAGAGAGCTGGAGGTGTTGGGTGGGACTCCGACTGACTGGATGTTCTGTGCAGCAGTTAGATTTAGTTCCACATCACTGCAAAGGCATGTACAAAACGTATAGCGGATTAAGTATTGAGATGGTTGGTACAGAGAGCCAAGGTGCTGACTGTGATATGTTGTTATTATGGGGGCATCCTCGTCCCTCTGACTCCAGTACAGTAGTGAGGATGTTGTGTGTTGACAGCTCCTCCTCATCCCTCATCCTGTCGAGAGCCTGCAGCTTCACCACTCTCAGCAGCTGTTCATAGAGAGAGGGGAGGGGAGAGAAGGGGAAAAGAAATGAGCAAACCTCTCTGTCGAGCAGAACCTAGTGAGTTTCTCCTGACCGAAAGACAGACACTATTTTGCTTTTCCTAGCAATCACAAATCAACTTTTACACTGCTAAAAACACAATGCTTGTTTAAGGGATCGTATTCAAATTCCCATGGTGGTATATACTCTATATGACTGACGTTGACTGTGTAGCCAGACACATCCACGGATGAGTCGTTCTTTATCTTCAGACTCAAAATGATCTTCGATGATGGAGTGAAGGCAGTGTGCTGGAGACTAGGGGAAGAAAGTTCATTATATGGTAATACTATATATACTGCACTAATCTGAGTACTTGATTTCTCTGGGTTTGGTTTGGTATGTGCGTGGCAAATTAATTAATGGTGGCTCTTACATCCCATAGTTTCGCGTGTTTTTCTGTAGTGTAGTTGTGGGTGGGTTTAGAGCCAGTCTGACAGCCTGCTATATCAGACTAAATGTGTGGTCGACACTTGCTATTCATTTGACCAATTGGCGAATAATGAAATTTATTCCCCGTAGAGCACTTACCCCATGATTACCAATAGAAAAACACGAGTCACTATGGTAGGATGGAGCTCCAACTCCCTCCCCTTCCTTTTCTCTATGTGGCTCACCTGCAGGTGACATTGACAGTTCCCCTGGTGAGACAGAAGAAGGTGCGGACACTGCCATGAGCCATCAGTGGCTGGGGAGCTGCCTCGCTGCTCCTGCACTCTATACTGTCATATACCACCATCCTACTCTCCTTCTGTAGTGGACCAAACACACACACACAGCATTAATGCAGTGAAACAGCTCTTCAATGAAACCCATGAAACAAATTGAGGACACCTTTTATTTCTCCCAAAACAGTTTTTTTAACCCCTCAAAAGAATACTACGCTATCGGTGTCCAGATTAGAGAGTTCCACGACATAATGAAAGATCTCTATTTGTTGCCTAATACAGCTACTACCTCTGTTGCTGCTATATTATGTGCTACTCACAGATATCTTATTGTGAGGCGAGCCACTAGTCAGCACAGCTGACACGGAGTACTGCACAACTCCTTCCCAAGACTTGCTACTGTCCATATCCTCATACTGAACGACAAACGAACCTCAAATGTTAGGGACAGAGCAGAGAAGTGGGGGGGTATATATAAGAGGATAACAGAGTGTGGAGTATATTGCCTATTATACCTGGGAGACTGTGAGGCAGTTGATACTTGAACGGATAAGCATAGCACCCAATAGGAAACAGTCCTGCAGGGAGAAATGAGAGCATTAACTAACAGTGTTTTAGTTTCAATGAGTTGTGCAACCTTCTCCAATGACAATTTCTTGTTTGATTATGTCCTTGATCATGTTTCTCTGACCGACCCTAGATGTGAAATCTCCCTCCTCTTCCCCCTGCTCAAGATACTTGTAGCCATACTTACCTGCGAGGGAAAGGAGGGCGGTTTTTTGCAGTATGAGACAGCTGGTGTGCATATGCATACACGTATGGAGTCCTCGAATGACCAGTTTTAGGGTGGAGGACGACAGTTGTTGCTGAATACGGAGATATACGGACCTGGAGGGAGGTGGAACGTGCCGTGCATGCAGTATAATGAGCCTCACATTACCCATAGAGCGTGTCTCCACCGACGTACTCTCCTCTGTCCAGTCTCACGTCTATTTCGTTCGCCATAAGTTACTGCGGCTCTGCAGCTTTGCGCCAGACACCCCCATTTACCGGGTCCTGAACTGAATCCTGGGTGGGCGTGGCCGAAGAACGGAATGGAGACGATGAAGCGATTAACCCCATCGCCACGGTGAGTGAGCCATGTGGAGAAAAGTGAAGCTACGAATGGTTTTGGAAGGGACTGAGGGGCTTTTACGGGTCTGTCATGGATCTAGACTTACAGCTGCACCTTCCCGCTCTTCCAGTACCCCTGACCTCGCGCGAAGGAGCGTTTACTGATCTATCTCTGTTCAGGCAGTAGTCCAGAACTCGGTCCAGAACAATCGGAAGAGCTCGTACAGCACTACCTACTGGCAATGAGACTTGTCCCGTCTGCAGGCAAGATGTTTTGCCTCCCCTCCACCTCCACTTCCTTTTTCTCTGTGGTGTGTATATAGTTGTGGTGGTGACAACGGGCGATGGTTCTCTGAAGAGAGGTGTCACGTGCAGCTCTTTTACCAGTGTATCTCTCCATCCTCCTATCATCTCCTTCACCATGCAACTACACAGGTGACCACTCAACCGTCTTCCGCCCTTACCAAAACCAGTACCTTGTCTTGTCTCCCTCAGTCGCATGCACAGACTCCTGCAGTCGACTCAGAGATTTGCTGCCAACGTCTTATCAGAGCAACAGGTAATCCCGGTCCTCGAAACCAGTACAACCAGTTTTCCAGTAGTCCAGCCTGTTACTCTACCGAGATCAATTCCATGAGAAGTTGTTTTCCTCGCCACAGGCCAACTATAGTGTCCACTTCTCAAGACCTTTTCAAGACAGCAGTGATGTCTGTCAGTTTGACTCCATTCCGCACCACTCCTCGGGACACTTGGTCGGTCAATTTTGTCCGTTTTTAACATCTTTTAGCACAGTTTTTCCTCCTCCTCTCCTTCTCTCCCTCCCCTCTCTACTTCAGGGTGTTCCTATACTCAACGACTGCTCCTCAGTACTGCAGTGTTCCACACACGACATGCACACAGTTGGGGACCATCACGTGTGGTATGGAAAGGCAAGTCACCCAAGTCTCGCGATACACAACACAAGTTTATATTCTCTGTATATATCATAGGTTCTTCACGCCTCACAGAATGATACACCACCACTGCTGTATTATGACAGGTTAGTTCTTGTGTCGCGAGTATTGTGTCGAATATTGTACTAGGTCTAAATGTATGCTCTTTAGATCTTATAGGTCTATTGGAGATGAAACATTTATAAGAGCCTTTGAGACTGCAACTCTCGGATACGAGGAGTGGACACACGAGGTTTTCAGCTACCTAACATACCAATTACACGACTCCTTTGCCACCTCTCTTTTTCCTCCTCCATTTCTTTCCTATGTTCCTCTTTACTCCCACCTCTCTTCCTCACCCCCCCTCTCTCTCTATTTAGGCTCACTTGAGAATGGCCTGGAACTACCTGACTCTCCACGGGAAAGATAAAGCCACACCCATAATCCGGTACTACGGCAACCACTATATATACAAGCCAAGGGTGGTACTATACCGTCTCAATAATATGTACAGGCAGGGGATCAGGAACTACATTGACCAGAACTATGGGAAGGTGAAGAACGTGTACAACGAGACAATCACTATGTTCTTCATCCACATGGTCCACACTGCAATAGAGCTGGTGAGTGGAGAACAAACTTTCACACAACAGTGATCATTTCTGATCCTTTGCTGAATTTTTATAGGTGCACACAATTTTAGGGGAAGTCGAATAGGATAACTAAAAAATTGTGGTGATTTGTTCAAAATTTTGTGCCTCGAGTAACAACATTGTAGTGATGTTGTAATTAGGAATGAATTGTGTTGACGTAATCCTATGACATCATCCCATATATATTTAGACAAACAGCAGCTGCAGGACATTTGAGGAGTTTCTGGAGGCCTGTCCTCACCTTTCTGACCCCCAGCTTCTCTCCCACCACTACTCCCTGTCCAGAGTCCATTCCAGCGAGGCCAGGAATGAGTATGAGACTGTCACATGATGCACGGTACTAGCAACACTCTCTCTCTCCTCATTTATTGCAGCTGGCTGGAACCAGATCTAAAACCTCTTCCATGATGTTATTTCATTGATAAAATGACCAGTGAATATATTATAAATACACATTTCCCAAGCAATATATACAAGAGTATTCCAGATTGCACAGTCTTTCATTGGTTTTTATAACGTCTTGCGCAACATTGAGAAATCTTGAGATCTGCAACGAGCTCCCTATCATTAGCAGAGAGTCCATAATTATCGAGTTACGGCTTTTCTTTGACTGAGGAAAGAGTCTCCACCTCAACCTGTGACAGAGAAACCACACACAGACTGTTTTACACTCCACTGCACTATATACATAGCTAACCTCCAGCTCAGCTATTCTCTCATTAGCACTGGCCAACTGTCTCTCTACCTACACAAGAGAATCGAGTCACATTTACACAGTAGCTACACACGAGCCGGTTGGACAAAGTGTCGCCCTAGCTGTTTATACCTCTGCAAGGTTCTGTTTGAGCAGAGCGTCGACCCCAGACTCCAGTCGATAGGAATTCAGAACATTCACACAGCCATCACGGAGCTGCACACACACACATACATACACATCATTGGTGGCCTGTGGGATACAGACCAGTGTGTGTGTGTGTCATACCTTGCTGACAAACAGTAGTCTTTTCTCCAACCTCTGGATTTTCTCTCCCCTCATCTTACACTCCTCCTATATATCATACAGAGGCAAAACTACACAGTAAAACCTGAAACAGGGTTGTTCCCAAGAAAATTTCCCATAATGGCAAACTGCAGGTCTATCAGGGAAAGGCCAGGCTGTGAGTCGGCACACATGCCTGCTTTTCCCACAACAATTAGCATTCAAGCACGCACCTGTTCTCTGGCCAGTTGACTCTGCCTCTCTGAGGCCAGGGACTCTGCTCTGTCAGCAGATCTCTGGACCAGCTTCAACCTGTACAGGCACAGCAGCATAATTATATAGCCGATTTGGCTAGTGGGTGGAGTGTACTGTTGGCCGATTCCTACAGTTTGCTAATAGATGGGATTCCTACAGTTGGCTAAACGAGTGGGGAAGTAGAGATCGGAGTTACTGGCAGGCACTCACCGTGACTCCAGCTCTCCGACCTGACTCACTAGCACCATCTCCCTTCTCCGCAGCACTATCAGCTCACTCTGCATCCCTGTACATCTAATACAACACACCTTTACAGTCAATTACTCAGAACACACTAAAAAACAAAAACTGTAATATAATGCATACCGATGGTTAACACACAAATATTCAAAACAGTATTAAACAATAGCACCTTGTCTGTATAATATTATACACCTGCTTCCTGTTGTAGACTCCTCGTCTCCGCTGCTTGTGAGCCGCTCACGAAGCAGCTTGTTCTCCTCTTCCAGTCTCACGGCCTTCCGCTCCATGTCCCTGTTCCGTTCCACCTGCTCCCTCAGTGTCTGGAGCTGGTACCGCATCAGACCCACGTTGTCTGCGTGGCCTCTGAGAGCCGCGTTCTCCTCACGCAGCTGTCGCATTTCTCTCTCCACGGACTCTCCGTGCAGGAGGTTGCTCTGGACCGACTCTGCAAACTGAATGTCGTGTTTCGCTTGCCTCAACTTGTGCTGCAACTCCTTAAGAAAAGGTAACAGAGCTATATTTTTTTGCTGCAAATCGCACTAAAAGAAAGTGAGAAGCACACACATTTTAAAGGGAATGTGTCAGTATCAGTAAATAAGGGCTAAGTTTAGAAATGCTCAATAGGGCACAGTGCATTTGGTTTCCCTGTTTTAAGTTACTTATTATACTGCCACTAGCCTAACTGCCACATTCCCTATTAAAAATATTATACCTTAACTCTCTCTTGTTCTGCCTCCCATTTCTCCCGAACACCGGCAAGTCCAGTCATTCTCTCCCTGAGGTCTCCAGCAGCAGTGGCCTCAGCCCTGACTTGCTCCTCCAGACTAGTCCTCACCACCTCCATCTCTCTCCGGGCCACCTCCAGCTGCCGACACAGGAGACGGTTCTCGTTGCTCAGCGAGCACACCTCCGCATGCAACTGTGGAGATCAAACAGAGGGACAAATTTTAGCACGGACGGAAAAATATTCTTGGAGAAAAAATGTTTGTTAGCATGTAAAAAATTGGGACAGTGTTAGCACGGAAAATGTAGGAAAAACGGGGGAAATCTGGATAAACACAAAGGCAGTCCCCAGGAAGTTTGTGTAGGGAAAAAATAAATAATAGTGTCCCTTAGGAATACAATGAGAATTGAAAGCACATCGACATCAGCAAATAATGTTGTGGAGCACCCCCAGTTATTTCTAAAAGGAGACAATCTGATATTGCAATTACACCTCTTCCATGGAGCTGGTTCTTTCCCTCTCTTTCCTCTCCAGGTCGGCAAGAAGAGCCCGCAGCCTGGCCATCTCTTCTCCCTCCTCTCTCTCCCGCTCTCTCAGCTTTTCCTGGGACTCAGCCAGCTGCTCGGCAAGACCCTGCCTCTCCTCATCCAACTGTATGGAGAGAGGAGGAGGGAGGCAGGTAGAAAACTGAATGAAGTATCCCACTCTAGTGTATGCATTTATAACTGAACAAAACCGGTACTTTCTTACTGCGTGAAGTCGCTGCAGCTCCTGACTGGTGGCAGATGACTGAGTCACTAACATTTCACCCTCTTCTTCATCGGAGTGGTCAGTTCTGGCTCTCTTGACAGCACGCCGAGTCTTGGTCATCTCTAGCTCCAGCTCCAGCTGGGAGATCCGACCTCGGGCATGAATCAGCTCCGCCTCACACCGAGCACTGCTTCTCTTGCTACCAAAACTCGCTGTAGAAGTGAGGGAGCTAGTTGTCGCCATTGGAGTCACGTGAGACATCCTGGTCGCGAGACCACCGCTAGCGCTCCACGTGTTGAATTGGAGTAATTCCCCGCGCTGTGGTGAATCAGCAACTTCCATTGAATCAGCTAACACCGCTCTGTGCCTTCTACTCGTCAAAAGTCCCAAGTTTGACCAGAATCCTCCCCGATGACGATAGCGCCACGTTTTTTCCCCGATAACGAGGGATAGAAAGGGTTAATTAATTAATTCCGCGCGCGTTTTCTACGTCATTGCGTAAATTAATTGCCGCATATTTTCGCATAGTGGTGGTTTTTCTCTCAAGTGGTGTGTGTTGTCTGTATGGCTTTGGAGTAACCTACTGTTTACTCTACTACTATATATACGCACTCCGGCCAGCGACATAACCGACTGCAGCAGCGCACGTCCGACGACCATTTGTGTCTGCTGCGCTGCAATGTCGTACCGCCAGGACCCAGACGCCATCACGGCGTACCCGAGGGCCCGCGCCGGCAGTGTAGGCCACGCTCCGGTCTTCAGGCAGCAGAGCTTTCCTCTCCAGCAACAGAGACAACAGCCCAGGCAGGTCAACAGTCTGGAGAGAAATCATCACTACCGCTACATGTCGGACCCGGCGCTCCTGGACGACCGAGAGGGAAGAGAGCCCGCAGCAGTACTCCACCGACAGCGGGAGACGTAGCGCCATGAGCGTGGAGGACTACAGTCGCTCGGAGGAGAACGAGAACATGGAACGACACGTCCGCAAAGCCAAGAAGAAAAAGATGAAGCATCTGCGCTCGTTCATGAGCGTCTTTATCGGCGGGCTCCGCCAGAAGGAGAACGGGGAAGAGAAGAAAGAGGAGGACATAGCCTCCACGAGACACCGCCAGAGAGACGAGAGGAACGGGCTGGCGAGATCGGTCGCGGGAGGCTCCAGCGTCGCAGCCGGCAGGGGGGCGGATGAGAGAGGGGGAGACGGTTCTCGGCGAAGAAACAGCTTCCAGGGAGGAGCTCCGAGTCCTCGCCACCACCCGCAGCTGCAGAGACCTCCGGGCCTCGTATTCCCTCCCCAACAACAGCAACTGCGCGGGCTCCACAACCACGGCAACACCTGCTTCATGAACGCCGTCCTCCAGTGCCTGGGCAACACGGACCGACTCGCCGAGTACTTCGTCACGGACGCCTACAAGGGAGACTTCAACAAGAACGGCTCCAAGCTGACGACGTCCAGCAACGTCACGGAGCAGTTTGCTCTCTTGCTCAAGTGTCTGTGGAGCGGACAGTACAACCCAGTCGTGAGTTCCAGATTCAAAGAGATGGTGGGTAGGGCTACAGAACAGTACCAGGGCACGGCTCAGCACGATGCACAGGAATTCTTTCTCTGGTTGTTGGATAACATCCACGAAGACCTGAACCAGGCTGCCGCTCGCAGATACAAACCACTGAAGGTCAGTTGAGTAAATCTCTACCTTGCTAGAGGAACAAATACAGCGAATGTTTCAAAGAGAAAACGTTTGTGATTTGTAGCAAACAAGAATTTCACAGAGAACTTGGGTAGATTGTTCTCAAACTGCGAAATTCACAAAGTTTCTCTCCCTCCCTCCACCTCCAGTATATCATAGAATGAGAGTGTGTTTGGCCTGTGGTTAGTTAGAAGTAAACCAGGGGGAGTCTGGGGAGGCAGGCTCTGCATAATGTCCTGCATAACACCCTGAGCCAACTGGTTTTGTCGAATACAGCACTATAGCATTGCTCTGTGTACAAACTCTGTGTCGTAGTCGCAGCACAGTGGAAATTGGAGAGGTTAACCAATACATTGACCTGGGACTGGTTTATAATATATATATACCCACGTCCTGTATGTCCACGCAGTTTAACTAATACACAAGTCGCAGCACGTATGGTACACAGTGCAGTGAGATTACCAATTCAACCTGACCCGAGACGAGGCATGAGAGGTATGCAGTAGCAGGCAGCAGAAAACAACTCAGTCTGAGTATTACAGTGGCTAGCTCAAGTGGAGGAATGCTCTGATTAATTTGCTCATTGAGTATTATATCCACTCACTGAGTCGCCAGGTGTAGCCGGCCTTTGTCACGGAACATGCCGTGCAAACTGCTGTTCTTGTATCTCCTGTGACGGGGTTACTGCTGATTTCCTGAGGTCAGTTCTCACCCTGGCAGCTGTCCTCACATCCCTAACTAGATTCGTCTCCCCGTAATGCCGCCTTTTTTGACTCGAAATCTTCCCTCGCCTAACTACAACCGCAGCCTGTTGTTGGGAGAACTTCTGGCGACATGTGTAGTGATTTGGACACCCGTACCTTGTCCCCTGAACCAGCTCACTGACTGAACACACACAATGAGCGAATCTTGTTATATACTGTTATATATAGTACTTAAACGGCATTTTTAGGCAAACGAGCATGAGAAAGTCTGTCGACTTTGAACTGTTTACCCAATATTCATACATACGCGGGAATGCTCATTATTGGCAATGTGGATGACTAGGTAGGCTTGTTTCACCCACCAATGAACTCTCTCTCTCTCTCTCTCTCTCTCACACACATGCACACACAGGACACATTGGGCAGACCAGATGAAGAGGTGGCGGCTGAAGTCCTGGCCTCCCACCTCCAGAGGAACAACAGTTTCATTCAGAATCTCTTCCAGGGCCAGTTCCGCTCGGCTCTCATCTGCCCCTCTTGCTCCACCCGCTCCTGCACCTTTGACCCCTACGTAACCATCTCCCTCCCACTTCCCCAGCGAGAGACGAGGCCCGTCTACGTCACCGTGGTCTACCGCGCCGCTCACCGGAACATGAGGGTGTTTGGGGTTAACGTATCAATTGACGGGAGCATCCGAGAGTTGAGGAACAAGCTGGCCGAGCTGTGCGGAGTTCACAGGTACACAAGTCCTCAGAAATGAAAGCATAGAAAACACTGTAACCTTTCCTTCTCCACAGGCAGCACCTCGTACTAGCTGACTTGTCAGGAGATGGGTTCCACAGAGCGTTCTACGACGACCAGCACATATCAGTGGCCCACCCCAGCGATCTGGTGCATGCATTCGAGTGTCCACCCTACAAGGGAGATAACCCAGAGGCATACTCCCAGACCAACCCTTCTGGCAGCAAAGAGTTGCTGCTCATTCTGGTGGTCAACAAGTGTGGACAGACTCATTTCGGTCGCATGTGAGTATAATGACAACTAGACCAGAGAGAGAGAGGAGATACCCACACAAACCTATTTGCTCTCCCTAAGCTCAGAATCCAAGGCTTTGTCCTTTGTATGCTCCTTTGCCTCTTTGTATCAGCTACATACTGCCTAGTCCTTCTAGTTTTATACTACTAGACAATGGAACAAGCCATTTTCTTTGAACTTTCAGCTGATCCCAACACTTCCCAGACACCCTCACTCAGCACCTGAACTTGTGCCAAACTGTTTCTCTGCCTCCACTCAAAACTAATACTAACTCTCAATACTCTCTGTCTCACTCTGTCTCTATGGTGTGGTCAGAGCACTGTCTCTATGGTGTGGTTAGACCTCAATGGCTGGTGTTGCTAACTGCCAAGCAGTGAATGGACCAGCCCTCCATTCCTGTAGCTACAAGTCAGCAAGTGTACAAACCTCTAGCTCTGCAGCCAGGCTTCTGATTTGACACTGGGATTTTAAAAATGCAAATCTCTCAACGTAGGGGTACTGATTCACGCTGTGGTGCACACGTTTTGCTTACCGTGCAGGTTTGGACGCCCGCTGATCCTGAGAGTGTGGCGGGACTTGACGCACCAACTTTTCCAGTCTGTGGTGCTAAAGAACATGGCGCAGTTCCTTAGGGATGGAGTCAGACTCCCTGAGGTAGTAATTTTCCTCTCTCTCTCTACACTCCATTGTTCCCTCTCTCTCCCTTTCCCGTAATTCTCTCTTCTGGTTTATTCCTCTTCTCTATAAAGAGGAAGTACTCGATGCAGCGTGGCATATGTATAAGTTAGACACACACCCGCGTTCCGACGAGCTGTATACATGAACACTAACATACACCTCACTGCATCCACGTCACATTCCAGCCATAGGTGAAATGCCTGTAACAGAGTGTGCTTATTGGGGCGTGCATGTGTCCACTGTGCATAACTCACCATAATAGACTGCAGTGTTGTTGATGTATTGGCTGTTCAGTGAACACTTGGACGCATTCCGCTGTTTCAAATCAACCACTCGTGAATATCATTAAGAGTCCAACACAGCACCTATGTACTGTAGGAGGTTCTGTTGGTACAAATTGTTGCCAGCAAACGTTTTACAGTCATCCTGTGTAATGCATCCATGTACACAATGGTTAGCATTGGGTATACTGTTAGTATGTGGGTCATAGGCATTTCGTAAGACCCTCCCACTCACACGCACAATAAAACACTTCCTCCCTCTCTCTCATCTCACCAGGTGTGTCGCAGTGGGAATCTGTTCAAATGTCGAGTGGTGGATGGTCTACCAGGTCGCTGTGTTCTCCCAACTGATGTCGAACATCCCTTCTACTCTCCCTCTGTAGACAAGTCAGTCCCCTCCTCAGTATATAGAGCTTACACCGAATTGGGGATTACACCTCACATGACACATCTAATCCAGACACCAATGGGAGAGAAAAAGTGTCCACATTAGTGAGGTGTTCCATTTCAGGGTGTCCTTATTAGAGAGGCGTCCTCGTGTGGAAAGGGAGTCCTTATCATAGCTCCGTTTTTCTCTCTCTCCCTTGCACAGAGCAATGAATGTGAGCATGGTGTACGGAGGCCCCACCCACATCAAGCTGGTATGTGAGTGGGAGCCCGAGACCAAGGCCGCAGTGTTTGGCGTCGTTCCAGACCAGCACCCGATGCCCCACGAGAGCGTGGCGGAACTGAGACAGTACTACGAACAGCCGCTCCAAACCTCCCTCACTGACAGCCTCAATATCTACACAAGAGAAGAGACGGTCAGCTGCTGCTGTGGCACACACACGCACGTGTGTACACACCACGTTTGTAGGTCGTTCCCTAGGAGACTTCCCCTGTTTACATTATCTGCCAGTGCCATCTTGTAGGGGGTGGTACAGGAGTATCTGTAGGTGATTTGTTTTTTCCCTGTTGAAGCTGTTGTGTGGTACATGTGGGGCTGGCTAGCACGCAGGAACCTGTATATAGCTAACACGTGAAGATTGGCTTAGGGGAAAATCAATGAAGCTAGTGAGTGAGGTCTTGATTTGGCAGTCCAGGTCTGCCTTGAATGGTCATGATATTTTAACGTGATTACGACAAAATAGCGAATTTTGGCAGCGTGATTCAGGTTGATAAGAATCCAATGTCCCCTTCCCTCCCTCCTTTCTCTCTCTCCGATTGCTCAATAGTTGAACCGAGAGGACTCGTGGTTCTGTCCTCACTGCAAACAGCAGCAGCAGGACGCCACCAAGAAAATCACCCTCTGGACTCTACCTGACGTGCTGGTCATCCACCTCAAGAGGTTTCGACAGGTCTGTATGTTAAAACTCACTAAATACAGCTGTACTTTGTATGTAGGGATGTATGGCCATGTAGAATGTGTATAGATTAGACGTGTAATGCCCACTGAATACATATTCTGTGCTAGTGTCCAGTATAAGAGTGTGTAATGGAGGTAGGAATGTGTGTAAAGAGACCCTTGTGTGGCCACTCCACATCAAAGTCGGCAGTCCACCCAAACTCCTCAGGACTGTTGATTGAATCAGTGACGTGCATTCCTCGGATTCCCGCCTGGAATGACTGCTGCCCTTTCTCTCATGTTCTCCTACATTCATTCTCACCGGCTGGTTGAACTACTTACCACGTTCGCCACATGTTTGTTTTTCCAGGCATAATGCTATGACCTGTAAGTATGTGTGTATATATACTGTTCATTTCCCACCATAGATTGGCTACATTCGAACAAAACTCAGTACACTGGTCATGTTCCCCATTACTGGACTGGACATGACTCCCTTCCTGGCCCCACGAAGCTCCACCCAGTCCCGCCCCTCGTCTGCCACGCCCTCCTACAAGACCCAGCGCAGCACGACGAAATCAGTCCATTTCGAAGACGAGAATGGCCGCCAACAAAAGTCTCCCCTCGGCCGCAGCGTGAGTGCGGGGAAAGGGAAAGGGAAACGGTTTCTCTTCCCTCGAAGGAAGCAGCAGACGACTCCACCGGAGAAGAAAGGAGAGAGAAAGACAGGGAAGAGTGATTCGGTGAAGAAATCTCCGCAGCACTCTCGCTCAGCCTCCATGGAAGGAGAGAGACGGAGAAGCAGATCGCCGGACGCTCCTCGCACATCTTGCTCTCCTCCTGTGGGATCAGAGAGCCCGATGAGCGTCCGCAGCGTCCCGAGCAACATCGAGCGATTCCAATTAAAGCCCCACCATCGCTACTTTCTCCCTCCGAGCCCACTCGACCACACCCCCTCCAGTCTGGACGACACGCGACTCAGTAACATGTATGACCTATTTGCCGTGTGCAACCACTCGGGGACGCTCAGTCGTGGACACTACACCGCATTCTGCAGGAACCCCACAGACGGGCGATGGTACAGCTACGACGACAGCACGGTCCAACCCATTCCCGAGGATCACCTAATCACATCGGGGGCCTACATGCTGTTTTACGTCCGTCAATCTCTTCTGTCTTCGTCCCCGCTGAGCAGCTCAGAATCCTCGCAGTCTTCTTGCAACAGCGCCAACCACTGGATCAACCACATGCCTCCATTCAAACTAGACCTCAACGACTACCACGAGGAGCTGTGCCAGCTACAGAGACAGAGCAAGCAATTCTCTCAGCAGGGCTACGACGGACACACCGAGTTCCAGGCCAGGGGAGGAGAAGGCAGATCCAGAGCCAGACTCGACTCCTCCAACTCTGTCCTCTCAGCACCTCCGAACGTGGGTCTGCAGGTGTCTCCCCCGGCCTCGGCTCAGGATGTAGACACTGTGGCTAGTCCCGGCTCGGGGAGTGTAGTTCACCCTCACTACTACCCTCAGGACTCTCGCAGTGACACGTTTTCAGCCGTCAGCCTCCCTCCGTACCGTCCCAATCGTGGTGGACTCACTACCAGTCTACACCATGCATCAAACACACCTTACAACCACGTCTATCCCAACACCGGTAGATCTATGACCGACAGGGTCGCCGGGACTAGACCCCAGAGCATGCGACTGAGAAGGGAGCGGGGTAGCGGGGGATGGGGTACCCACACCCCACAGACAGGGTACCCCACTCAGCAGCGAAGCCACGAGGATCTTCACGAGGCATCGTACAACAGCCAATTGCAGGGTCACGTCGCTCCGACTCGCTCTATTCCAAGTCTCCCCACCAGTTCGGAGTTGGCTCAAACTCCCAACAGATATTCGCAGGAGGCGCCACGCTCATTCAATTCTCAGAACCTCCGTCATCAACACCAGCCAACTGCTCGCAGCAATGGACACATTCCCATCAACATTGGCTCCCACTTCAAATCTCCCAGTCTGGCCCGAAGAGCCGCTCCCCAACCGGAGTCCTGTGTCTAATCTCTCCCTTGTTTTCATGTTTGTCTTGTTCCACGTCAAGTACTTCAGGCACCATTCGCAGCATTATCATCCGAACTAGTGTCAAAATGTCAGTTTTTGTGTTGCTCCCATCATCTCCAACACTATTTTATCCACTGTATAAGTGTAAATGCTCGCATTATTGTTGTAAAATATACGGCTACATAATATCTATTCAAAACTGTGTTCTGCTGAGAAATTAAAAAGTGAAAAAAGGAAAAAAAAATGCCGAGACCCGGGATTGAACCGGGGACCTTCAGATCTTCAGTCTGACGCTCTCCCAACTGAGCTACCGCGGCACACACGGCAACATGGGGCTAAAAATCATTTATGAATCATGTGCACGTGCTAATGGGAAATGATCATGCACCACCGTCAAAGAAAGTCTCTAGCGTCTCTTCCAGCGATTCTGGAGTGAACTTTAGGTACTTCTCCGGGTTCTTGGTGAAAGGAAATTCAGAATAACTGCGGGGGAAAAGAGGGGAGATTTTTGAAAACTTCCACTGAAAATGAAAGAGTAATACTTACACTCTGTGAAACTCGGCGTAGAGAGGACCCACCAGCTCCACATTCTCGGTCCTGACTCTGGCTCTCAGCTGGCTGTCAGGGATGGACCAGTGCTGCTGGACTCTGCACAGCTCCTCTATCTCCGTATTGAATCCCTGCAGTTTGTGATATAATTATCATAGCTGAGGTATCGTGGGAGGGAATCAAATCATTTTTGGTGTACCTTGTACTTGTCTTTGATTGTCTGTTTGGCTGCTTTGCTCAACTGCACCAGTGTAACACAAACCAAAACTTTGACTGGCAATAGAGTCCGTATGTGAAGGTTTTGCAAGGTGGAATTTAAGTATATTATGTCTCGGTACAGCGATCCTTGTTGACACACACAGTTTCTCAGATGTTGTGGGCCACATGGTGGCATTTGTTTCGCGCTTTTCATAAACTTTTTGTAAAAATCCCTGAAGGTTTTAAGGAGTATTAGTTGCACATTACCTTGTCAGGTCCTCCAGCTCCAGCACTAGCACTGACTTCATGACCCAGAAAACCAATTGCCTTCCCAAAGCTACACACACACACACACACACACACACACATTCATCAATGAGACAGCAAATGAAGATGTCACACAGAGCAAAGTGCGTGTCACGAGTGAGTGACTGCTGACCATCTCTGGTAGTTCCTCAGGTGAGTGGTGATACTGTTGATGTAGTTCTGCTCTACGTCTCCGTACGCTTCCTCCAGTAGTCGCTGCATCTCTTCGTTCCTGAATTGTTATGACATAAGTTGAACTAGCTTCCGCGTTATGTATGTAGCATTATCCAGTGCATTTCACATCATGCACTAATGCTTCCACATTCCAGTAGGTGCTAGCTTCCACGTTATGTAGCACTACATATGTGGTATATATAATATATAATCACATAGTTTCCTATTTCCTACTGTGTACAGAAGGGATAAGTGCTGATACGGGTGAGAGGTGCAACACCTGGTAAAGGTCTTGTGAATGAAGTGATAGTTGTTCAGGAGAAAGAGGCTGGCCAGCTGAGGATGCTCGTAGCTACGTGCCTTGCTCTCCATGTTCAGGTTCAGTGCATCCACCACTCGGGTCAGGTAGTGGCCCAGCGACTTCCTCCGGTCTGCGTCTGATACCACTCCAAATGAACCTGCGATAGGAAGAACGGATCATCCAGTCTCAGTAGAGGGGAGAGGAGGAGGAACAAGAGGGGGAGGAGGAACAAGAGGGGGAGGAGTAAGGACGGACGGAGACTCACTTTCGCCAAAAATGACCTCCCCGACATTCCGTGAGTAGTCTAGCAGATGCTCAACAAACCACATGGTCTGTGGGAGAGAGATATCCACATTACAACAGGGCACCAAAGTGTAACTGTTAGACCAACCACCACTATACAGCAGGTTGTTAATATGTACACCCTAGTTAAATGAGGTGGGCTCACGTGACTTGTCAGCTCGTGGACTGTGCCATCTTTAGGAAGGTTTGACTGCTTCTCAGGGTTCCCCTGGAGGTAGGAGACACACACACACACAGAGAGAGTGAGTGAGAGAGAGAGAGAGAGGTGTGAAATGACGATAAGAGACTGTAACGTATGCATGTTTTCTGCACTAGAAATGGTCTTCTATTAGACTGATGGAGAAACTGGAGCAATTAGACTGACAGAGAATGATAGAAAGAGAGATTGACAATTACAATGCAGGTACTGTATATACCTTGATATGAGCGACGTAATCCTCCAGAGCCTTGTGGTTCTGAGGGGAATAGGGATCTCCAGCGGTCCTCCCACACAACTGAAATAGAAACTCACCACTTTCTGAAACTGCTTCACAATATCCTCGAAACGAGAGTACGGCGACCCGTCCAGACCCTGGGATACACACACAGAGGTCAAAGGTGAAACCACGCCCACATCGAGGCCACACCCACATATAGAGCAGTCTTGTATTCGGGGAGGAGGCCCTGGACGTGTCTGACGAGTCTGAAGACTGATATGGCCACTGGGAAGTCGTTGTATGACAAGCTCTTCACCACATGTTGATGCAGCATCTGGAGGATTATAATGGAGAACACGAGATCTTGAGGAACAACGAGAGAGGTGTGAGAATAGCATTCACTACAGACACATGAAGTTTGACATTAGCAAGAGACTGTGAAGTAAGGAATGGAAAATGCACAGAGATAAAACTATGAGAGTGGCCTACATATATAGGTATATACGTACCTCCACTTCCTTCATGAAGAACTCGATGGGTTGAGCAGTGAGGTCGCGGAGTACTCTGGACTGGTGGGGTTTTGGAATGACCTGCCGCATCAGTCGAACCTCTCCCTACACACACACACACACACGCGCGTCACGACAATACAGTATACTATTCAGAGGCGTCCATTGTTCAGAGGTAAGTATGGAACACAACCACAGAGTATACAGAAAGGTGAATTTTCTCTGAGGAAAAGTTTTTCCCACAACCCACTACCTCTATCAGCCTCAAGAAGACGGTTGTTGCCGCCATGATGTAGCCACACCCATCAAGCCCCTCCTCTGAACTCCCAACACTGAGCTCACTGCTAATGGAGACCACGCCCCCCTCCGATACGAGCTGATGACTCGGTCTTACGACCACCTCTAGAACGAGAGAGAGAGAGAGAGAGACAAGAAATTTTACTTTTTAACCCAAACAAAAGCGTTTACCTTTTAACAGGAGATGGAACATGAGATTTTCGTACTATAAAAAAAGAAGTTGCGACAATATGAGTGAAAGTGTTTGAGTCAAACTTACAGGCTGCAGCAAATGAGGCCTTCTTTGGGATCTGCGGAAAAGAGAGACACATATCAACATTGACGGTGAAAGAAATACTTGCCAGCAACTATCGTTACTTTGCAGAGAAAAGGGAGACATAATTTGAAATAAACCTGAGACGGTTGGAGCAGAGACGAACTGTTGGCCTCTTTGAAAGTGTTGAGTGAGCGACCTAGTTGATTTGACCTCAGCTGGGAATAGACCAGGAGAATGTCTTTGTTTTGAACGTTTCCTCCCACCATTGCTGGCAGAGGAAAGGATTAGGTGAGGGGGGGAGGGAAGAAACATGTATAATGTATGTACCTCCACCACTCTGTGAAATGAGGTATTCAGCCGTTGCCCTCAGTTCACTAATGGTGCGAGCTGGAAGATGCTCCAACGGTGGCAGATCTGGACAGAGAGAGAGGGACACTCAAACAGATCCCACACACTATCTTACAGCACTCTCATACAGTGTGTCAACTTTTGCTACGGTGCTTGCTTAGAAGCGGACTGTTTATGTGGTAGAGTAAAACTAACAAGTACACTGCAATCTCAGCACATATGCCACTCAGAGAGGGAGCTACTGCACACACGTGACCAACCTTCAATGTCCTCACACGCGGCAATATCATTGAGGAGAGGAAGAGCCACTGGCCGCGAACTATTCTTCATGAGGTTCATGAAATCTCTTTGGAGAGTGTCCAGCCCTTGCTGGAGAGAGAGAGAGAGACTAATGCAAAGTTGTGTGTGTGTCACGCTCACGTCAAAGTAGTCGTGGAGACGAGTGAGCTCCACGCTGGCTGGGTTGTTGCTGTGGAAGAAGACCAGAGCCATTTTCAGTCGCTCCAACACCTGCAGACACCCGCCACAGTATCACCTCATACATAATAAAACAGTGAATGGGGTCGTATATTCACCGTACCTTGATGTATGACTCCACGTCTCCTCCAGGTCCGACCTGTATCTTAGTCTCCACATCGTCTGCCACGTGGTGATACCCTATCACCTTATCCAGCTGCACCAGACTCTTATCCACATCTGTATACATGCAATGCTCAGGAATCTTTATACTTTCTCCTCCCCCCCTTCACTTCACACAGTCACAGAGTGAAGGATACTCTCTTGCAGTTGAGTCAGTTCCTTGGTCTGCTTGTACACAGGCACAATGGTGTCGTCCAGTTTCTTGAGTCTCACTGTGAAGGAGTCCAGGATGCCCATCATGTTGGTCGTCAGCTGGTCGCTCTTCTCAAGACTTTCTCTCAGGTTCTCCAGCTTTCTCTCCGACTGCAGGACCGAGGGAAACGTCGGCTGTTGGTGATGTATTATGGTGCGACAGAAAAATCAGACAATTCACTAATAAGTTACTTAGCCTTATGATTGTAATGCTGTCATACGCTATATACAAAGTAGGTCTAGCCTGTATGTTCCACACAGAACAAGAATTGTACGAGGCGTGGCAGTGCTAGCGGTGCTTACCGACTTGAGGCTCTCCTCCAGCTGCCGTTTCCTGAAGGAGACGTCTTCCATGGCTGCCCTCCTGGTCTCTCCCGACTGCTAGCTGGCTGCTTATGGCTTCGACTCGAGTTTGTTTTGGGCGGTCGCGTACAAAAAGGGTTAAATTTTACTAATTAATTTATTAATTAACCCCTTTGTTCCTGAGCCTTTTGCAGTTGGGATTGTCTCTGCACTGCAGCAGCGAGTCTGCAGCCGGAGGAGCGAGCTTGGAAGTTGTCATCATGGGCCGCCGCTCTACCAAAACGACCAAGACGGGAAAGTTTATGAACCCCACTGACCAATGGCGTGAGTTCCATATCTTCCGCGTCCTCTAGCGATAGACACGAAGATAGCGCACATGAACGACAGCGTGACTTTCCACAAGCTCACTAATACCAACCATTTCCTCTCTCAGGGAAAGAACAGAGACGGAAAGAGCTGAAGAAAGTGAGGCACTCCAATTAGTGCCACCCGACCTCTTTCTCTCTATTGTCTCGCTACAGAACAAGAAGCAGCGTAATGCAGTTCGTGAGGCAGTGCTGAGGATGAAGGACCCCATTGTCATCCTGAAAGAGATAGAAGAGATCGAAACGGCAGAGAGCGAAGCCATTGCTGCTGCCACCGATTCTTTGCCTTTGCCTAACGAGAAGGGGCTTCTCGAGAAAAAGAGGAAATTACACAGCAATCTCGACCGCATCATCAAGTACTGGGTAAGCTCGGTCTGCTTTGCATAAATTAAGTGATGTAATGATGATGTAATCTAACTCCAGCAAAAGGAGGATCCAAAGAAAGCACACGACGTCAAACAGTGAGTGGTTGTTTATGTTGTGGTTGTTGTCATGGAAATTAGCCATGACTACTGTCGGAATGTTTCAGATTGATTCTGGACAGCGAGAACAAGAAGAGGGAGACCACTCAGCTCCACGGTGAGTTAACCCCTCTCTCACTAGCAGTGTAATTCACGTGACTTCTCTTTCTCCTCTCCACAGACAGCTATAGAGAGGCAAGGGTGAGTCAGACAAAGTAAATCTTGTATAATATTATAGTAACTGACTGTGTGGGTTCTGATGCACACAGTCTCAGTGCGAGGTATCTGACATCCCACTTCCTGACACTTCTGATGGTAAATTGTCATACGTTGAATCATCACATGAATTGGTATTATAGGCATCATGACTTCATCATAGCTACAGTGTTTGTGTCATGAACTGTTCTCTTCTTTATTGTAGGGGCTTTCATCATGCCTAGTGATATCCCCATGCCAGAAGAGCTAGTGTGAGACTTTTTGACTGAGATTATATTTAGATTCAGTTGAGCAGTTTTTTCGTTTTTCTGCAGACCTCCGCCCAGCCACACCCCTGCTACACCCACACCCCCGGGACCCCCTCCCGGAGCTCCGACCTCTGACCTCCGAGACTACAGCATCATGGAATCCTCTGTCAGCCAATCACGGAGAAGCGTCAGGTTTGCGGCAGATGATGAAGACGATGACGACAAAGAGGAAGACGAAGAGAGAGATGAGGAAGAGGAGGACGAGGGGGACTCTAATAAGAGTGATTCAGACGGAGAGGACTTTGACCCCGATGCACTTCCCGAGCCACGCCCAACAAAAACAGCCCTGCCCACCCTCCTTCAGCTCCCTCCTCCGCCTCCGCCTGGACCTCCGCCACTGTTTGCACCTCGATTTCCTCCGCCCGGAGTCCGACTTCCTCCAGGACCACCTCTTGGTCTCCCTCCTGGACTGAGACCACCGCCTGCCTTTCTCCCTCCTCCCAGGCTCCCCATGCCTCCTTCACAACCTCACATCCAGTCTCAGGCCGTCATTAGCTCCCACCCTCGCCCCTCACCCTCCGCAGGGCCCGGGGTCAAAGGTGGTAAGACCGGGCAAGGAGCCATCATATCTGCCCAACCACAGCTGAGAAACATCCAGGCCGAGGTCACAAAGTTCATGCCGACAAGTCTGCGGGTTCGTCGTGAAGTTCCCAAGCATGCAGCTGGGAAGGTGAAGATGGCAGCGAAGCCTCCGCAGGTTTTGGCACGCTCGGGAGCAGTGGGGAGGGAGGGAGGGAGAGGGGGAGGGGTCCAGGGCGATGCGTACAACGCTTTCATGAAAGAAATGGAAGGAATTTTATAGTTTGGAACATTACATCATTGTCACTGTATGACACGTAGACAAAACACTCTGTACACAATACCCTGTTATCAACATTCATTGTTGTGTGAAATTAGGGGTGGAGCTGATTATAGACACTTGGGTGTGGGTGTTTGCGAGAGTATGGAGATCAGTAGATGTAGGATTCAGCAGTCCGCGACTTGCTGTATCCACGAGAGAGGTTGGTGGAAGTTGAACAAGAAGAGGGGAAGGAGTAGCAAGCACTCTCCGGGGGGCAGATGGGGTTCGAAGTGTGATTGAGAGAGGGGAGAGCAATTGTTTGCCTCTGCCGCCCGAGACTATTGAGGGTGGTCTCTCGTGATTCAGCCCAGGGGTGTCTGGAAGGTGAGACTGGTCTGGGGTCTTCCCACGGTAACAGATGAGGGGAAGGGACACGGCAGGAATTGTGGTTTCTGAAAACATCCTCGTCTTCCTTGTCGTCTTTCAAATCAGAGTCTAACGCAGGGCCTGGCACGGTCGAGGTACAAGGACTTGTAGTGGTGATTGAAGTAGGTATGATGAGAGGGGAACATATCATGGGGTCTCCCACTTGCCCGAGATCTGGGGGACCCAATATTGGAGAACCGTACGATCCGCAGCTCACACGCTGACTGCTGAGCAGTGAGATCCAGTCCAGGTCCCCTGGGAGTCCACACGGATCAACTGGAGCTTGAACCTCGCTTTTGATCCTCTTTCTCCCCTCACCTCTTCCCCGTCTCGACCGTCTGCTGTCTTTCCCACTGTAGCTAAAGGCCCGTTTCAGCTTCCTCCCCCCATCCTCTTCCCTGTGTAGCTGGCTACTAGTTTCTTTCTCGAGGCACTCTATCAGCCGAGGGTGGAGAGACCAGCAAGTGCCCTTGCTCGATTCTCCATTGGTCCTGGCCACCTTCACAAACAGCTCATTTCGTAGTAGACTCTCTTTGATGGAGTCCTGCAACAGAAAAGCTATATAAAATCACTTCCCTTGTGCGAGAATGTAAATATAATGGGAAAATACATGCAAAAAGCGCTAACTGCTGCATATTTGGCCACCAAATTGCAGGGACCTAGTATGTTGGCCGTTTAGATACCTGCCATCCAGGCTCGGATTCTTTGAAGAACTTGAAGTTGGTCTTGATCCAGCGACAGATTTCGTGGAAACTGGCCTTCCCCGAGCGGCTGTGTTGAAGAGCGAGGTAGACGAGTGAGGTGTGGGGAAAATGAGGCTTAGTCGAGTCGCTCCGATATCTCTTGGGCGCCGATCGGAACTCTGTGGAGTGTAAGAGGCATTGGCGAAGAGGAGACGGAGAACGAGGCGCATTTCCACCTGCGCAGAGAAGCGGGTCGTTTTTTCCAGCAGGCGGAGAGTAGGTCGAAGAGCAGGAGACGGTCTCCCACGAAGAACAGCCGTCCTCGGAGCAGGGAGATGGCGGGTGGAGCATGACGCGGACCTCCGGCGAGAACAGGTCAGGCACTTTGAGGTTCTGCAGCCAGCCGAGGCTCGTCAAGCTGCTGTCGGTCGGCCCTCCGACTGCAGGTCTGGATTCATGGATGTATTTCCTCTGTCCCGCTGATGGAAAAGTCCTCTGCTGCTGGAGAGTGAGGGTGACGGGCGACGCCAGAGGCAGAGTGAGGGAGGACCAGCTGGGAGCCCCGCCTCTCTTTTCCCCGAACATCGTCTGGGTCAATGGCGCAGAGCGAGGAAGTGCAGTGGTTTAGCGGTCCCTTGCAAACGCAGGTGACGGGACCCCAGAAGACCCAAAGAAGTGATGAAAGCAACCCTACGAAACTGGAAGAAACAGCTCTTTCTTCTTGACCGGCGGCCCCTCCTCCTCTTCGCAAGTGTTTTCGAATCGATTGCGGCGCTGAATTACATTGACCAATCAGATTTCCTCCTGACCTGCGCGCGCCGTACGCCTGCTCGCGCGAGGGGGCGGGGGGGACTAGAGAGAGAGGCCTAGGGGGGGACGCGCGCGATGCGGCGCAGCAGGCAGGGAGCCCGGCGGCAAGACGGCTACGCGCGTGTGATGGACCGCAGATCCGCCGGGACGCCGCACAAAATATCTAGACTAACTCTGCTTATTCAGTCACATCAGCATGATTCACTGCATGTCCTTTGCATCGCATAAATTCAACGTATATATACGGTGCAGCGAGCGTTTTTATTACAGCGGCCACTAACTACCGCTTCCATGCACTGTTTACGTGGCTGTGTAGTCATGGTGACGTTTGCTCCCCAGGTCACCGTAGCAACCACTATAATGAGAAAGCATTGTAAACAAGCTCAGCTCTAAATACATCACAGCCTTGATCAGAAGCAATTGAAACAGGCTCTATATACAAGTATCCAATATACTATGAATACAGTTCGGAATAAAGACAAGATGATAACACATGACGTAGATGGAAACATTGCTACAAAACAGAGTCTGCTGCAAAACTAATGCGGTATATGAGGTGAATGCCCTGATTACAAACACAACAGTTGGAGACATGATACAGACAACAATACAGAGCCTGGCACTTGGCCAAAACACTCACAATTAACACGTAGACAGTCATAATACAGCTATATTACAAAGCCTATGGGACTAGCTATAACATACACGGACATACAGGGTGAAATAGCCCTATACACAAATTCAGAGTAAAAGACGATAGTTTATAGAGACCACTGGTACACACTCGCAAGCGGCAAATTACTCCTAAATCACATGTGTCTCACACTCCTCCTCTCTCTCTCTATATATATAATATAGCAGAGAAGGAAAGGAGAGGCCAGGGACACACTGTGCGTCAGCGTTCTCCGGCCTTTGTACGACACTTGACTATAGCTGGCTCAAAAAATTCCCCGCCCCCGGAGGGACTCGACGTATTCATCCTTTCAAACTGCTGTAGAGTCTCCATCAGTTGAGGTGGGGTGGCTGGAGTATTGGTCGGGACAGCCTGAGGGAAAAGAGAGGAAGGAGAGAGAGAGAGAGAGATAGGAGAGAAATGGAAGAGATAACTTCTCGTGCATATGAAGGTGTGTATACAGGGTATGTGGGAGGAGATAAGGGTATTTGAGGAGGGAACAGGATACAGGTATAGCTGGAGAGCAGCGGCATTTGTACTGACACCGAAGATGGCTAGGGCACACTGAAATTGGCTGCAAGAATGCAAGCAATGCATCACTCTGACAAATTCCATCATGCACACGCAGTCTCTACAAAACATGCGTGGCTGTAGACAGTCTGGTATGATAGGTACCATGCCTGATTAATGTGTGAGCTGATGATTTAAGTCTACAACACACAGACTTGCACAGGTAGTAAACAGCTGCCAGAAAAGGAGCTGGAGAGATATGCTGCTATATACACTCACTTGATTGACACCCAACCACTCACAGATTTGAGACCCAAACACACACACATAAAGCACGCGTAAACATTCCCTGAAAGAGGCCAACTGGAAGCAGGCAAATGTTTTGGGGTGAGAGTGAAAAGGTGTTTTGGAACCAGTCGAGGAAGAGGCGCCACACAAGGGAAAAGGGCTCACATATGAAGCCACTCTCATCCCAAGGGAGTGGGCACTGCCAGCTGAAGTTCCTGAAGAGCTCCTGCCCGGGCCAGGGTGGACGGGAGGGGCCGCTGACACCTGTGGTAGAATCGCGTTCTCGTTGAAGAAGAGACTCAGCGCCGCCTGTAGTGGGGAGAGGGAGAATAATGAATACGGAAAGGCGCGGTACGGACGGGCACGGAAGGTGTGGTGACTGGTGAGTAAGGATAGGAGCGAGATAGACTCACGTCCGAGTGCCACTGGGCTTGCTGGAGAATGGTAGTGGCTTGTTCGGGAGTACAGCCCACGGCGTTAACCATCTGGTTCACCATGAGCTGCTTGCGCAGAATCTCCGAGTTGACGTCGCCCGCGGCCATAACAACACGCGTCTCCTTTTTTCTCTCGCGACGAAAGTTTCAGGAGGTCTCTTCGGCCACCAGAAAGGCCGATCCAGCGGTCCACGGAACTGTAAACCGCGGCGGCGGACACGCAAAACCGAGCACAATGCAGCAACACCGCCGACCGGAGATACAGAAGACGGTCAGCTTGTAAACAAAGTGTGCTCACCTCGTTTGTAAACGCGTGAGCGACCGGAAACAAAACAACCATTGTGCGCATGCGTACAAATATGGGTGGGGCTTGTAGATTGAGCAGGTAAAATGGGTGTAGCTGGTTGAGACCGGTCAGTCAAGCCTTGGCCGGCAAGTAACTCTTGATTGACGGGACTCGTATACATGTTCGCATAATGCCGATAAATACTCCGTTGCGCGAGCCATTTCAATAAGCCAGCTGCGTATATACCGACCTGTCTACTTCGGCAAAGATGAATCGCGCTCCGCTTGTCGCCAGAAAAATGCTTCAATACCCCTTCGCGAGGGCCTATTCAAGTGGTATGCACGATCCTTATAATGAGACCCGGTGCAGCTGCACTAGTTGTCCTCTCGTCTCTAGGAGTTGCAGCAGCGGTCGCATCGGCCGCGACTTCGACCGTGGACGGCCCACACACGCGACCGGTAGTCAAGACCGCCATCCCGGGCCCCAGATCAAAGGTATATTGATTACACACAATAATTATAGGAAATTCATGTGGCTTACCTTTCTTCGTGTCCTCAGGCTCTTTTGGAGGAGATGGGAAAGTCTTTAGTAAGTTAATTTGTACGATCCATGAACTAATTTCTATTGCAAAACTGTTTCTTGAACGAAGTCAACAAGCCAAGTTGCGTTCTTCACAGACTACGAACAATCTTGTGGAAACTACATGGTGGATGCAGATGGGAATGTTTTGCTGGATCTGCTGACTCAGATTGGGTCTCTCCCGCTGGGATACAACCACCCAGCAGTCATGGCAGCTGTTTCATCTTCCTCTGCCCTCACCCCACTGGTGACTCGTCCATCGCTGGCAATGTTCCCTCCCAGCTCCTGGCCTGAACTCGTTCAATCAACTCTCCTACCAGTCAGTTAGCTACTGTGCATGTGATTTACGGTTCACTAGTAAGTACATACATACGCAAACCCTCAATTACTGTGTGTTTCGTAAGGTTTTCAGAGGTTACATATGGTTAGCTACAGAATTTTTTCATAGCAGTGTTCATGTGTGTTTTTGTCTGGTCTATTCAAAGCTCGCACCTCGAGGTCTCTCTGAAGTCACTCTCATGATGTGTGGGACGTGTGCCAATGAGAACGCTTTCAAAGCTGCCTTCATTAACTACATGGTACATTGTGAAGCATATTGTACTACTCAATTGAGTGCATTACTTGCATTTCTAGGATGTCAAACGGGAGAAACCACTGACACCGGACTCAGAGGAATACAGTTCAACCATGCTCAATCAGGTTCGGGTAACAGGTTTTACAAACACGTTTTTCCTGTTGTTACTAAATATGTTGTAATGTACAGTTGCTTTTGAATTGTTTAGCCCCCTGGGTCTCCAAAACTATCAATCTTATCGTTCATGGGAGGTTTCCACGGCAGAGCACTGGGTGAGCTCCAAAGGTCATGTGAGAATCACATGACACTCACATGGTCCCATTCCCATTCCAGGGACTCTGTCCTGTACCCATTCCAAGCCAATACACAAGCTGGATATACCGGCGTTTGATTGGCCGGTGGCTCTGTTTCCACGGCTACAATACCCGCTGGACCAGTTTGTGAGGGAGAACGAGATGGAAGAGAAGAGGTGCCTCGCGGAGGTGAGCCGAGAGAGAGAGAGTGAGTGTGTGTGTGTGTGGCTAGCTACAAAGCTCTCTGAAATAAAGGGAGAGGCTTTAATCACAAAGTGGTAGCATGATGAATTAGAGTATGATTGATGATGGATATTTGGTATAAAGGTGGAGGAGAAGATGGAAAAGGCAGCGAAGGCAGGTGAGCCTGTTGCAGCCATCATCATAGAACCCATCCAGGCTGAAGGAGGTATGTGGACAGAAACTACTTTCGTGAACTGGCTTTGTGAATGCTAACTTCGTTATTAGGGGACAACCACGCTTCTCCAAATTTCTTCAAGGGAGTGCAGAGCATTGCCAAAAAGGTAACTAACTCACCACATCAGAAATCTCTCTAGTCTGGGGCATATTTTATTTCTCATCTCCTTACATATGTAGCACGGAGCGTCGTTTATAGTGGACGAGGTGCAGACAGGGGGCGGAGCCACCGGAATCACATGGTGAACCCTGAAAAAATTTGTGGTTGATCTTTAGAATTTTTTGCCAAATTTGCAGGGCGCACGAGTCTTGGGGTCTGACAGAGCCGCCCGATGTTGTGACTTTTGCAAAGAAAATGATAGTTGCTGGTTACTATACCACTCTGGACAAGAGACCGAAAGAGGTATATTATACTGTAGCACAATAGTCTCAACTTGTGGTAATTATAATTATACAGGTCTCATCACACTATATAAACAGTGTTAATAGAGTGTCAGCAATGCTGTGGTCTCTAGAGATATACTTCTCTATCAGGGCTACAGGATCTTCAACACGTGGATGGGAGACCCGATACGACTGGTGATGTTGAAGGCAGTTGCAGCCGAGATCAGATCAAAAGATCTCCTGTCTCAGTTCAGGGAGAGTGGAGATGTCCTACTATCTGGACTCAGGGAGCTGGAGGTACAGTGGAGCCCTCTAGGGACCAATGGGGCTGAAGAAAATGTCCATATTAGTTAGGTTCAGGAGTTGAATTGCACGCAAGAACTGTTCTTTGGGAAAGAAAAGGTGTCCTTAATAGAGAGGTATATATATATCATTGCTTGCCATGAAAGGCTTGCTACTGATTTTTGCAGGAGTGCTACCCCTTTCTGGTACACAGGGCCAGGGGCCAGGGTCCATTCTGCGCCATTGACTGCCACACCACCAATCAGAGAGACACCGTCATTTCAACGCTTCGCAGCAAAGGTTAGCAACAAACTACTGAAGCTGAAAGAAAATTGCTTGCTTTTAAAAAAATATTTATAGACAAGTTTCGCTCTGTGTTCTTTCAAGTGGGTGATATTGAATTTTTCCTCTGCAGGGTTTAATCTGGGAGGGTGTGGGGAGGTGGGAATAAGGTTCCGCCCTGCTCTAGTGTTTGAACCATCCCATGCCTCCCTTTTCCTAAACGCTTTTGAGGATACTCTAGCAGAGCTCAGTCGCTGACGATCCGTGATCGCTTTCACTGAACACTCATTGATCTCTGATCAATTCATGTGATCCATGATCACACATTCTCCGATCAGTCATGATCCCCTGATCACATTTATGATCCTCACACATTCTCCGATCAGTCATGATCCCCTGATCACATTTATGATCCTCACACATTCTCCGATCAGTCATGATCCCTGATCACATTTATGATCCTCTCAATCCATGACCACATTCTCTGTGCTTGTTGTGTTTAAATCCAAGATAATAATACTTGCTGAAACATGCATGTATAAAACAATAGAGATGAGATAAAATGAAATGGTAATTCACAAGTGGATCACTATTTGGTGAGGAGTTCTTTGGTTGAGGAGTAGGAAGTGGAGGATGCCTCGCTGCTGTGGGACACGCTCTCCTGGAGCGGGCTCGACTCCACCTCTCTCTCCTCCCTCCCCACCTCCTCCAGGACCACACTCACCACACTGGTAGCTCCGCCTTCTTTCACCACTCCCTTGTACCCCACCTGTGAATACGTGTATGGTACGTGTGTGTGTGTGTGTGCGTAAACCTCACATGAAGACGGAGACTGTATGGATATTGTGAGAGTTTGTATTTTGAGCAACTGGTCACTACTTGCAAGGTATGTAGTAGTGACACCACTTCTACCAAGGGTGTTACAGCAAATATCAGGAAGAAATGTGTTGATAATGGAGCAGCAGCCCGAGGGGTTATCACACATTCCTGAGGGTTTTGCGGAAACACCCCCAGTAGCCTGGTATATACAATATACCATAATTATATACCTCCGGAGTGGTCACCAGTCCTGGAATATCGTGGCCTTCCTCCAGGTCAATGCGTGTGTGGTCATTTCTCTGCTGACGAGCCGCTCTTGAGTGGGTGGAGTCAGGGGGCGTGGCCAACGGCTGTGCAGAGAGCGCCTCAATCTCGGGATCTTCCTCGACTGATATGACAGTGTCTGTCGCTGTCCTGAAGTGAGAAAAGCAAGAGTCCAAGTCTAAGATTATATCAGCTAATTAAGTTTGGCAAGGCAAGTTTTGAGACACAGTGGAATTCTTTAACGAATTAGTGCTAAAACTAAAACTGGTAAAACCGGTTTTTAGTTCTAGGGCAGAAAACTCACAACACAGGTTCCGACTAAGTGCTCAATATTACTTGCATGCAGCACAAAGGAACTCACTGTGTTTCTGTTCCACCAACTGTAGTTCCATTGGGTACCGCCCCCTCCTCCCCTCCCCCTTCCTCTTTGGCAGCAGTGGGTGTGTCCTCCTCCTCCTCTTCCCTCTCTTCTTCGGCCTCACACGGCAGTTTCAGACGGTATCCCGTTCAGAGCCTCCAGGACTGGCATCTTCTCGTAGCCCGGAGTGTCATACTGCTCATAACATAGCAAGGAGGGAAAGAACATGGAGGGTATAATTGAGTGCAAGCTTCGAATAAGGGATAATATAGGGGCATTTAAGATGGGGGACACTTCTGAATACAAGACACTTTAATTATAATATGTATTAGTGTGGGGCAGAACCAGTGTCCCTTTAAATGCAGTTTTTCAGTTGTCGGGGTTTTGATCGTTGTAAACTCACCCGGAGATTCCCCGTTATCTCGTCGTCGTCCAACAAGAGGTCAGGGTCCAGTGGCTGAAGAGCTGTCACTTGCAGGAGGGCTTTAAATGGAGTGCGGCAGATGGGGCAGTTGTTTGACTGGTAGCGAAGGTTTGCAGCTGTGTGTGTGTGAGGGCTTATTACTTCAACTGACACAGGGGCAAGGGGGCGGTACACGTACCACAGCTAGCGCAGAGGCAGAGATGTCTGCAAGGCAGCAGAAGAGTATCTCTCACATCAGTGATGCACACCACACACTCAGCTCCCAAATCCTCCTCTTCCTCCTCTTCGTCCTCCTCTCTCTCCTCCTCCTCCTCCTCCTCCTCTTCCCCAGCTGAGCTGTCCCCAGTTTTGTCCCTGCTGCGCTGTGACTTGTTCTCCAGACCATACATCTCGTGCAGCAGGTACTCCACAGAGGACACCTACGTAACAGAGGAACATGTTTGAAAAATTATTGTGAAAAATGGCCTTCTGATTAGAGCGGCGGCTCACCCAGATTTTCTGCCTGGCAACCTTCAAGTTGTATCCTCTGTCGCTGGACTTGTCAATGGTGCAGAGAGTCAACTGGCTTTGGTACTCACAGACTGGAGAACAGGGGAATGGAGTAATGAACATTATTACAGGGGGAACCCCCTACCATCAGCAGTCTCAATGAGGATGGCGATAGGAAAAGTATCTTGACCGTTCTCAGGGTCAAAGGTGAGACTCTCCTCGCTCATGTTGCCAGGGGAGACAGGGAAGTCGTCCCCCGTGAATTTGACCTCTGACCCCCGGTTGTGGTGATGGTATGCGGACCTGGTGAGCCCGGAGCCCTGAGGGTCTCGGAGAGATCCCACGTCCGTTCCGTCCGGGAGAGAGGAGAGGAGGGAGATGCGACAGTCCACATCGGAATTGAACTCAAATGACACAAAGTAATCGTCTGTGTTCCGCTCGGACCTTGGAATCAGGGAATGGAGATATGGGAATTCAGTGTATGGGAATGGAAGTATGGGGATATGGAATGAAACTACTCACTTGACGAGTTTAACAGAGTCTCTGTGTATGTTGACATAGAGTTGCAGACAGTGGAGAGGCTCGTTTTTCTTGGGAGTGGGGTACGGGAACTGGACCGGTCTCGTCCCGAGGAAGTTGAGGTCGGTCAGGTCACCAAAGAGGAAGTACTCTGGATCACCAGTCTCGTAGCGTCTGTGTCCGAGACGGAAATGAGACGAGAAGAAGTTCCCGCCTGTGTATGGGTGAGAGGAGGAGGGAATTAGGTGTTAGTCAATGCCTAATATGAGGCAGGTCATGATGGTGCTTCCTGTTGTTAGAGCCTGGCTCTCTCACGGAACACAGGTATTCAACCTTACCAAAGGAACGAGGCAAATCCTATTGTTCGTACGTGTGTACGCAACATTTCAAGCAGGGCCCGCCTAGTGACCATATATTCAACTCTTACGAATCTGACTACGAGCCAGAAACTCATCTGTATCGGCGTCTATCTATCTATTAAACGCTCACCAGCAGGCGGGGGATACTTGTAGAGGCCGTTCCTGGAGCTGTCGCTCTGCGGAACTACCTCCCTACGCGACCACCTGCTTCCCATCTCGCTGCTCTTCCCTCTCTCAGTCTCTCTCGCTCCGCCGTTTGCTTTCTGATCGGGTTTTGCTTCTCAGCTCTGCGTCTTTGTTTTGACGACGGGAAGTCACGAGAACAGTTGTGTGACGTAATGCGCATGCGCACTATGTCCGTCCGACACTGCTTTTGCAAATTCATGGCTTGGTTAGTCATCATAGGGGAATAGTCTGTTTGGTAGAGGCCACACTACCTCTGCAGAAGAAAGAAAGAATCGATGAACAATGGTGGCGCCATGTGAATGGATTACAGGCTTTACCAGAGTCCAGAGCAACCTGTGCAGGGCCACAGTAGCGGGCAATGAACTGGGCCGGCTCATCCAGGTCTTCACACTTTGTGAAATACTCCAACATATCTTCTCAGAGAATAACAATTATGTAATACACTGCCAGTTGGACCAGTTCGACGTTACCTTGTGGCAGGAGAAACTTTGGTTTCAGATCGTCAAGAATTTCCTTGATCCTGTGCTACAATAAGATTCACAGTGGAGAAAAGAATATCACACTCTGCTTCAGTTTGTGGAGAGACATACGCGGTTGAGAGTGAGATGGGCTCCGAGCTTGTAGAGAGGTGAGAGAACATAGCAAACCTGCAATAAGTCACTTCATTTCATAACTGTTGTGGTACTGCATTGTGGGGAGTTTGTAGCACGACATAACAACAGGCGAAAAATTTAATAAGCAATATTTTAGGCCACTTTAAATAATGGTGCAAAAACTTGTCAAATGTGAACTCATTACATAGATGCTGGTGGAATGATGTGGGGACATTCTCCTATTAGCATTGCATGTAAAATTTGACTATAATTAAGGCCACTTTTGTGAAAAAACATTTGCAACTCCGGTTGTGCAGTAGGTTTGTTTACAGTTTGTGCGATGGTCTCGGAGGTCTGGTAGTCCTCTGTCTTTGACATGGTGGGCAGGGGGAGGACGCGGTACGCCCACTGAGAGTACAGCCGAGCCGACACATTTGTTGAGAAATGGAGAATCCTCGTCCCTTCCAAAAGACCACTGTAGAAGAGAGAAATCGTTATTATATACCTGCAGTGCACACTCCTCAAGGTGTACACGATAGTTTATGCGGGCCTTTTTATTTCTGCAGGCATGTATGCGAGTAAAAAATGATCAATATTGTGTACTGCATTCTCCAGATATAGTCGAGGCATTCAGGATTGTTGGCTGTCCTGTCCTTTCCCCCACAGGCTAGCTAAAAGTACGAGAAGTTTGGCCCCCCAGTGACTGTTAGTGCACTGTCAAAGACACCTGTTGGTCTCGGTCTGTGTGAGAGCATCTCTCACTATAGCCTCCATTAGCTCCCAGGAACACTCCACCATGTGGACCACGTGTTCAGGGTACACAAAGAGCATCCCAGTGGGTCCCTCTCCCTGGTACTGCGCATGGCACTGCTTGAACAGCTCCTCATAGTGGGCTGCGGAGTG